CTCGATGTACTTGATGTAGACGAGGTAGATGACGTACTTTCCGTTGAGCTGGTGGAGCTGGTGGAGCTGGTGGAGCTGGTGGAGCTGGTGGAGGTCGTCGAGCTGGTAGAGCTGGTCGAGCTCGTCGAGCTGGTAGAGCTGGTCGAGCTCGTCGACCTCGTGCTAGAGGTGCTCGAGGTTGATGACGTGCTCGATGTCGACGACGTGCTCGAGGTGGAGCTCGTCGAAGTAGTGCTCGACGTCGAGCTCGTCGAGCTAGTAGACGTTGTGCTCGAGGTCGAGCTGGTCGAGCTGGTGGAGCTGGTCGAGCTGGTGGAGCTCGTCGAGCTGGTGCTTGAGGTGCTCGAGGTCGATGATGTGCTCGAGGTCGATGACGTGCTCGAGGTCGATGACGTACTCGAGGTGGAGCTCGTCGAAGTAGTGCTAGACGTCGAGCTCGTCGAGCTGGTCGACGTTGTGCTCGAGGTCGAGCTGGTCGAGCTAGTCGAACTTGTCGAACTAGTCGAGCTTGTGCTCGAGGTGCTCGAAGTCGAGCTGGTCGAACTAGTCGAGCTTGTGCTCGATGTCGAGCTTGTCGAGCTAGTCGAACTTGTCGAACTAGTCGAGCTTGTGCTCGAGGTGCTCGAAGTCGAGCTGGTCGAACTAGTCGAGCTTGTGCTCGAGGTTGAGCTGGTCGAACTGGTCGAGCTTGTGCTCGTCGTGCTCGATGTCGAGCTTGTCGAACTGGTCGAACTGCTTGAGCTGCTTGAGCTGGTGCTAGAGGTGCTCGAGGTGCTTGATGTTGAGCTCGTCGAGGCCACCGTCTCTTCACACAATGATTCACAGTCTTTGATATCATACTGAGTCTCAAACCCATGCCCATGAATGTCAATCCATTGAATGCACGCATCGTCATCGAGATCAAACACGCTCCAAGGCATGAAGCTCTGACCAATGTACTGAGCCCCAGCATGTCGAACCCCAGCACACTGCGTCGTGCTGCTTGTAATGCACTGTGTCCTCAGCTGCACCGGCGTGGCCGGGCCTTGCACGACCTTGACGTTGACCAGGTCACCGTCTTGAAACACCTCACCGTCGGGCAAGGTAATGCCGAGCGCCGATACGCCGTACTCGATGGGCGGTGTGCAACTGCGAAAGATAAGATCGCTTGTACTCGATGTACTTGATGTAGACGAGGTAGATGACGTACTTTCCGTTGAGCTGGTGGAGCTGGTGGAGCTGGTGGAGCTGGTGGAGCTGGTGGAGCTCGTCGAGCTGGTAGAGCTGGTAGTCAGCTGGTCGCGAGCTCGTCGACCTCGTGCTAGAGGTGCTCGAGGTTGATGACGTGCTCGATGTCGACGACGTGCTCGAGGTGGAGCTCGTCGAAGTAGTGCTCGAGGTCGAGCTCGTCGAGCTAGTAGACGTTGTGCTCGAGGTCGAGCTGGTCGAGCTGGTGGAGCTGGTCGAGCTGGTGGAGCTCGTCGAGCTGGTGCTCGATGATGTGCTCGAGGTCGATGACGTGCTCGAGGTCGATGACGTACTCGAGGTGGAGCTCGTCGAAGTAGTGCTAGACGTCGAGCTCGTCGAGCTGGTCGACGTTGTGCTCGAGGTCGAGCTGGTCGAGCTAGTCGAACTTGTCGAACTAGTCGAGCTTGTGCTCGAGGTGCTCGAAGTCGAGCTGGTCGAACTAGTCGAGCTTGTGCTCGATGTCGAGCTTGTCGAGCTAGTCGAACTTGTCGAACTAGTCGAGCTTGTGCTCGAGGTGCTCGAAGTCGAGCTGGTCGAACTAGTCGAGCTTGTGCTCGAGGTTGAGCTGGTCGAACTGGTCGAGCTTGTGCTCGTCGTGCTCGATGTCGAGCTTGTCGAACTGGTCGAACTGCTTGAGCTGCTTGAGCTGGTGCTAGAGGTGCTCGAGGTGCTTGATGTTGAGCTCGTCGAGGCCACCGTCTCTTCACACAATGATTCACAGTCTTTGATATCATACTGAGTCTCAAACCCATGCCCATGAATGTCAATCCATTGAATGCACGCATCGTCATCGAGATCAAACACGCTCCAAGGCATGAAGCTCTGACCAATGTACTGAGCCCCAGCATGTCGAACCCCAGCACACTGCGTCGTGCTGCTTGTAATGCACTGTGTCCTCAGCTGCACCGGCGTGGCCGGGCCTTGCACGACCTTGACGTTGACCAGGTCACCGTCTTGAAACACCTCACCGTCGGGCAAGGTAATGCCGAGCGCCGATACGCCGTACTCGATGGGCGGTGTGCAACTGCGAAAGATAAGATCGCTTGTACTCGTTGCCGCAAAAGTTGTGGACACTTCTTCTGGGATGCAGTATGCTGGCTCACCGCATTCTCCATAATGTTCGTTGTAGTCTGCAAGCTGAACCCATGCAACACAATCTCCTCCGTTCAATCCAAACAGCTCCCATGGCACGGTCTGACTCCCGATGTATGAGGCAATCTGATGTTTTGCACCAGCACATTCATGCTTATCGTTATTTTTGCACTTTTGTTCAAAGTGAATGTTGATCGTGATTCCGCTAGTTGTTCTCACATTCACATGATCGTTATTCGCAAACACATCTCCGTTGGGACGCGATATTCCAGTCGGCGTCAAGTCATACGGTGTCGGTGAGCATGAAGCATTGACGTGCACGGCAGTTTGAACTAGCACCGAAAGAACTGAGAGCAGTGGAGACCAGCGCCAAGCCGCTCTTCTTCTTCTTGCCTCTCGCATTCTGCCAATCTGTTGATCAAGCCGATGCTTGTGAGCACAACAAACATGTCTGCGTCCGTACTCAAGTTGAACAGGTGCAGATGCTTACGCGTGACGAGGCCTTGCACGCACGGGCCGAAAAAAAGGTCGCAGCGAATCAACAAGCTTGCAATCTACATGTGGAAGCAAACGGCGTCAGGGACAATTGATGTCGGGCGGGCCACGGAATGACCGTCATTAACTCTGGAAACAAAGTATGAGAAACTCACTGCCTGTCTCGCTCTCACCCGGCCTCGCAGATTTGTGGCGATGCCAAGTCACGGGGTGATGAGTTAGAGAGCCGGCATGAGATAAGTTGTCGTCGAGGACAGAGATGAGTTGATTTGGAGGTTCTAGGAAGATGGTCAAAGTGCGGAATGTGAAACCAAAGTCCTTGAGCGCTCAGACAGGATCGGGCTTCGACAACCCTTGGCCAGCAGCCCACCAATGACGGTTCAACACACGCACCCCAAAAAATACCTTGTTGGGCTTTTTCCTCTCCACCCTCGCGCTCTCTCTTCTCTGCCTTAAATCTCTAAAAACTCTATTTCTCTCAAATCTCTCTATCTCTCAAATCCCTCTCAATTCCTCTCAGTCTTCTATCTCTCTGAAATCTCTTTCAAATCCTTCTCAATCCCTCTCAGTCTTTCTATCCTTCTCAATCTCTCTCTCAATCTCTCTCTCAATCTCTCTCTCAATCTCTCTCTCAATCTCTCTCAAGCTCTCCCAACCTCTCTCAATCTCTCTCTATCTCTCAAACCTTTCTGAATTGTACCCCCACCCCATGGTTATGGCAAGAGTGCCCGCGCTAACCTGTGGGACATTTGCATGCCGTGTGGTCGCGTCTTGTTTGTTCACTCATAACATTAACATTAAAACTTGCCAACCGCTTGCATTCTGCAGTAACCTATTGGCTTATTGGCCGTGACGTCAGGGAGCTGGTAGGTTAATGATACCCATCCAGCAGCACCACCGTCAGGCGTGCCTTGCCTCATCACCCTCATCTAAATGGCTTGCGTGGTTTTTTTTTTCAAGCACTTGCATGGGTTGTTGATACATGGAAAGATTTTTCTGATTTGTTTTGGCATTGTAGCCCTGGCACTTGGAGCGAAATTCGGAAATGGAGACGGGGATGGCGGCGGCAAACAAATGGCAGCCAGACTGTCTCGCTCACGCCTAGACCAAGACATTGACAAGGACTAAAAGGAGAAGGCACGGCCGCCACTCAGGCGACATGCCAGACAAAACAGACATGTCCCAAACGTGACGTCATGAATTGGTGCGTCCTGATTCTTTTGCGTACCCCTTGCGCTTTTGGCTCCTGTGGCCGACTTTTCTGGAACCTCGTTGTTGGCTTTTATCTTTTGGCAGTCGCAGTGCACTCGGACCAAATCAAGCGTTTGACCATTATCGTTCGAGCTTCAAGTCAAATACCTGTTCGCTCCATCAAGACGGAGCTGGAACTGGCAGTTGGCTGCCGTCCAAGCGAAGCTGCAGATCAGATCAAATGGCGCGCCCATGCACAACGTCTGAGGTCGGGACGTTTGCCCATCTCGCTCGTGCATCTGCTCCAATCCCAGCGCGCTTATGCGGAAGCATGTCATAACATCCCCATACGCACATGATGAGGGTCTGACATTTACAAGATCACGCTACCCTGACGTGTACTAAAGTGAGGACTGAAAACAAAATCAAAAAAGCACGCGCAAAAGAAAATCCCCAGATCAAGAGACTTGTGTTGAGACTGAGAGAGACTCAGTGAGACCTATGGAGACTGAGAGACTCGTGGAGACTGAGAGACTGAAACCCCTCAAAAATAAAAAGAATTTTTTTTTTCGAAAAAAAAAAGAGAGAGAGATCGTTTTCTCTGTGTGTGTGTGTGTGTGTGTGTGTGTGCACGGAAAATGGCGACGAGTGCATCGTCATCAGCCACGTCGGCGGCGGTAGCAGCGGCCGTCAAGCAGGCCGAGGTGGCTACGGCGGCAGCAAATCGAGGCATGGTGAAGAAAAGTACAGAGGATGTGGTGCAACCACAGCAGCAACAGCAGCAACAGCAGCGGCAGGGGCAGGGGCCAGATGCCGCCACGACACTCGCCGAGGCCAAGCAAGCTCAGCCCACGGCCGCCCAGCTTCGTCAAGCAGCCTCAACCAAGCTTCTGTTTGAGCTCTCCTTGATTTTTTACAAGCAACACCGCGAACAGCTGAACTATGATGCCAAGGTCAAGCTAGCTGCCCTGTTCAAGCAAGCCACTCACGGACCGTACGTCGATTGCCAGCGTGCGCGTCGTCCAAACCCTTCCCCCGTGCCGCTTGTCACTCACTCGCGTCAAATTGGCACATCCGCATAGCTTTGATCCGACCAAGTCAGAGGCCCCAGGGTTTTTCGATTTTGTCGGACATGAACGCCGGTATGGTTTCCGCCGCCTAGCCCGTTCCACCCAGACCCCGATTCGTTGGCTGCAGTTGCACCCGGCTGAGCCGATGTAGAGGGACCTCTGTCATCATTGAGTACTTGACTCATGTATGTGCCTACTATTCGGCCAATTGCGATCATGATAGGGCCGCTTGGCAAGCGCTGGGCCAACTGTCTCAGGAAGAGGCAGAGCAGGCTTTCACGGCGATGTTGGAGGAAACACGGTCTGATTTTGCCGATTGGCTGGACAAGCGATTGATGCAAAAGTTTAATCAGGAGCAAGAGGAACGTCAGCGCCGGCATCGGGAATTGGCCGAAGCAGAGCGGCGCCGCCAGGAAGCCCTTCGCCAGGAGGCCCTTCGACAGCAACAAATGGAAGCAGAACGTCGATCCCAGCAACGTGCCGAAGCCCAGGCGGCGAAGCGGGCGCAGCAACAAGAGTCCATCTTGGCCGTGAGCAAGACGCCCCGGGCCACACTCACCTCCCCTGCTTATATCGAAGAGTTTAAAAAGTCCCTTCAAGACAAGCCCGATTGCGAGGCAGATGTTAGCAGTGGCGAAGTCTTAACCGTGCGTGTGCCCAAACCAGACCACGGCCGGATGCAAGTCACCTGGCAGTTTCATACTCTAGACTACGACATCCAATTCGGGGTGGATTTCGAACATAAGGCTGAGGATGGTACGCTCGAAACAGAGACCGTGGCGGCTGTCTCTCGGCTCAACTCCCACCTGGAAGTTGTGACGGGTAGCCATGTAGCTGATCGTGAAGGCACTTGGCTTCTCAAGTTTGATAACTCCTACAGCTACTTCCGTGGCAAGAAAGTCCTGTATCGAGTTCTCTGTGCCACCATCTGAGCAACTCCTCCTGAACGTTTATTGTCATGCATCCTGCCTCGCGTAGCTTTGACTTTACATGTTCGAATCCATCCCATGCAGATTCTTCACCATACCAGTTCACACTCCCAACCCTCGCTGTTTCGTTTACTCCCCGTTTGTCAATGTTTTGGATCTTAAGTTTTGCTTCGACAAGCAGCGCCCATCCCAAGACCTTGCACACCCGCGCGTTCATGCACACGTGATCACTCACACCTACTGCCACCGTCAGTTGCCCCTTTGCGGCCATGACAGAGTGGGCAGATCAATAAAGACTCGGTAAAAAAAAAAAAAATGATTGCAAGTCAAAAGTCAAGTTTTTGAAGCCCTACAGCATGTCAAGAAGTGAATGATCGAGCGTCAAAGCCTTCAGATTACAATTCAATGAAGGTTCACCATGAGTGACACAGATCAAACGCCCAAGGGACGACAACGCAGAGTTATCGCTCCTACAACAATTTAGTAAATCGCCTATTTGGTGGCACAACCCCAAAAGGCGTGAGAAGATGGCAATAGGAAGCGTGTGTACCAAACTTTGACCCTGTGCTCGGCCATTGATTGAGACTACTCACCGCTTTGTAGCCCTGTTTAGCAGAATCGAGCTGATTGAGCTGTTGACGGGTTTCCTCTGCCAGATGAATTCATACTCGGATGAGCACAGCCGCCGGACGCAGCATCAATAGCGAAGGGCTAGGTCTCGGGCAAAATTCCGGGCACGTACGGACAAGGAAGACATGTGCTCTGTCAGAACCAGACTGATCTGCACCAGAGGATCTGTCTCATCGGAACCCCGGCTGGAGGCTGGAATAACAGAGCGTTGTGAGCGAGAAAACAACCGATGACATGCAGCATTAGGCAGGGTGCAAGCACCACACTCTGAACCCTTCACCCAAGAGACTTGAAGTGTCGAAAAAGGTTCAAGTCATTAACATTGACACTCATACACCACACGGCACACACACCATCGTTGAGTGATTTGACCATTTCCTTCACGTCCTCCTCCATGCCACGCAGTTGCACTTGAATAGTTTCAGCTGATTTGAACCTGCAGAAGCAACATGGATCAGATGAGAGGAAGGACAAGCGAGGAAAACGGGGTGGGGCACTTGGCAAAACACCTTGAGCAATCGAACGCACATTTGGTCTCGCTCGCGATCCACGGGTCGATCGGAGGTAACATCTCCAAAGTCAGGCAAATGACTCTCCAGCTCGTCGAGGAGTGCTACGGGAACATGCGCCAACATGCATGAGCCATATTGTTGAGTGCCATCTCCATTCCTGTGCTTCCTCTCCGCATCAGATGACACTCGGACAATAAATAGGCTGCAGGACGTACTGCCCATCTCGCTTTGATCCTGCTGTGCTTTTTGCAGTGTCTTCTCTAGACTGTAGGGGGGGATGATCCAGAAAAAAATCAGTTTGAGCAATGCCATGACGGCAGCCTAAAAACGTGTGCTTCAAGGGCGCTAGAGCTGAGACTTACACAGATTGCGCTTTGACAACACGATTGACTTCTTCATAGAGATCCTCAATCTAAGCCAAGTGTCAACAAACGAGGTGTCTGTCTTGTAAGAAGCATCTGCCTAGATTACCAAGGCCATGACGCGCCTGACACCCACCCTTTCGCTGTTCTTGACAATCTTATAGTCTTGAGCCTGGATGCTCTGTGCCTTTTCATAGAAGATCTTCTGTTGCTCGTGCAGGTCTTTTTGCCACTATGATGCAGCAAACAAGTGGTGAATGGCAATAAGAGGCAACTTCTACAAATCTAGAGTTGCACCGTGGCGTTCAAACCTTGTTGATGAGCTTCTCCAGCTCCTTGTATGTGATGTCACCCAGAGGCAGACTAGATGCTGTTGGAGCAGCCTCAGTAGCAGCGCCAGTCGCAGTGGTATTCGTACTCAGGCCTGGAACAGTGAGTGCACCGGGTTTGGCGGCCCCTGAGGTTGGTGTGGCAAACCCTCCCGTGGCTGGCGCCGCAGTTGTAGCAGGCTTGGCTGCACCAAAGCCACCAGTGGCCGGTGCTGCGGATGTAGCAGGCTTGGCTCCAAAGCCTCCAGTAGAAGCCGCGGGGGCAGCACCAAAGCCTCCAGTGGCCGGTGCTGCGGTTGTGGCAGGCTTGGCTCCAAAGCCTCCAGTAGAAGCCGCGGGGGCAGCACCAAAGCCTCCAGTGGCCGGTGCTGCGGATGTGGCAGGCTTGGCTCCAAAGCCACCAGTAGAAGCCGCGGGGGCAGCACCAAAGCCTCCAGTGGCCGGTGCTGCGGATGTAGCAGGCTTGGCTCCAAAGCCACCAGTAGAAGCCGCGGGGGCAGCACCAAAGCCTCCAGTGGCCGGTGCTGCGGTTGTGGCAGGCTTGGCTCCAAAGCCACCAGTAGAAGCCGCGGGAGCAGTACCAAAGCCTCCAGTGGCCGGCGCTGCAGTTGTGGCAGGCTTGGCAGCACCAAAGCCACCAGTGGAAGCTGCGGGTGCACCAAAGCCTCCAGTGGCCGGCGCCGCAGTTGTAGCAGGCTTGGCAGCACCAAAGCCACCAGTGGAAGCTGCGGGTGCACCAAAGCCTCCAGTGGAAGCTGCGGGTGCACCAAAGCCTCCAGTGGCCGGCGCCGCAGTTGTAGCAGGCTTGGCCCCAAACCCACCAGTGGAAGCAGTCTGGGCGGCTCCAAAGCCACCAGTGGAAGCCGCGGGAGCAGCTCCAAAGCCACCGCCAGCAGGCTTGGCTCCAAAGCCACCAGTAGAAGCAGCTGGCGCGGCTCCAAAGCCACCAGTGGAAGCCGCGGGAGCAGCTCCAAAGCCACCGCCAGCAGGCTTGGCTCCAAAGCCACCAGTAGAAGCAGCTGGCGCGGCTCCAAAGCCACCAGTGGAAGCAGCCGGGGCGGCTCCAAAGCCACCAGTAGAAGCCGCAGGAGCAGTTCCAAAGCCACCGCCAGCAGGCTTAGCGCCAAAGCCGCCAGAGGAAGCGGCAGGTGCAGCACCAAAGCCACCGCCCGCAGGCTTGGCTCCAAAACCACCAGTGGACGCAGCGGGTGCAGCACCAAAGCCACCGCCCGCAGGCTTGGCTCCGAAACCTATACCCCCAGATAGGTAGGCACATGAAAAGATACAAGCAGGATGAGACAGTACATCATTCGCGAGTACTTTGCTCAAAGTCACACATACACACAGGGGAGAAGGACAGGCGACGACACTCCACAGAATCACGCGATCACCCAAAAGAAAAAAAGGCTTCTTTACTCCACATTGCGCCGTCACCCGCCTGCACCCGCATCCGCTTTCGCGCTCCTCTGCGGCGCCACGCTCCCTCTCTCTGCCTCTGCCTGGGCGACATTAATCATGCCAGAAACGACCTCAAAAACCGGCTCTATCCTCCCACATAATCCAAAACCGACCCAAACACACAACGCTCGCTCCAGTCCACCAACACCGCGGCCGTCGGGGACGTGGCTTGAACCCCAAAAGGCCCTGCACATCACATCAACCACTCACCGCCAAACGACATGATGCCGGAAAAAAAAAAACGAAAAACGAAAAATGAAAAACGTTTCGGCAGCGTGAGTGAAAGTATAACTTTGGTCACACTTTGAGTTTTAACGTACTATCATCACTGTATTCGTCAATTTCAAATTTGTGTGTGTGTGTGTGTGTGTGTGTGTGTGTGTGTGTGTGTGTGTGTGTGTGTGTGTGTGTGTGTGTGTGTGGTGTGTGTGTGTGTGTGTGTGTGTGTGTGTGTGTGTGTGTGTGTGTGTGATTTAAAATTTTAAAATTTTTCTTGTTTTTTTTTTTTTTTTGACAGAATGCGTGACAACCGAAAAAGAGCTCCTGCCTGGGCGGTCCGTTGTGTTGTCGGGCTCTGAGGTTCAAGATCAAGGGCGAGATACACGGCTCGACTGGCTTTGAGACCGGGAAGCGGCTCATGGGTGTCTGCCAAGCCGTGCCGAGCAGAGATGACCCCTCAGCGCAGGCTTGGGCCCAGATTGTGAGGCGAGCGAACAGATGAGAGTCGCACATTTGCGTCATGGCTGCACGACTGCAAAAACGATCAGTATCCAAATTACCAGCTGCCCGCACAATTGCTGTCGAAACACGGACCGACCAGCATGGCGCCTTGTGGGAGCACGACGCACTCGAGCCGCGTGCTGTCAAGCTCCCTGGCTTACGACGTCCGGTGCTGGTTTTTGATCCTGTTGAGGAGATCAAGACGGCTGATCGAAAATCAGTCAAGCGGGTTCGCCGCGGACCAGTCCTGACCTTCAAATTGGTCAAGGCCTCAGCCTTGGTGGTAGCCGCCACTCTATCTCAGCACGGGTTTGTGGCCATTCCCCCCCATGCCACCGAATTCAACCTCATCTGGGCTGGTCGGCACATCAACCCGATTGAATTGCGTACCTTGTCGCAATTCCAAAAGATCAATCATTTTCCTCGCTCCTCAGAGTGAGTGCTCATCGTCGGCATGGCGAGCACTGCTGACAAAGCAGTTCTTTATCACCCACCCCCTAGCCCCATGTTTCGTGGGCCACCTATTGACACCATGTCCCCTGCCAACCACTCGACCGCATGTAGGCTAACGCGAAAGGATCGCCTCTACGTCAATATTCAACGGCTACAACAGCTCCGTGGTCGCCAAGCCTATGACTTCCTACCACGTACTTTCCTGCTGCCCGCTGAATGGGATGAGTACATGGCGTGGTGGTCGCGACACCGCGTACCCATGATTGCCAAGCCCATCGCTTCATCCCAGGGCAGAGGCATCTTCATTGCCAGTCAGCCCGAGGAAGTGCCGAAAACACAGCAACTCGTCCTCTCACAGTACATCAATAATCCTTTGCTTGTTGAAGGCTTCAAGTTTGGTATGTCGCGCTGTTCACTTGCCACCAAGCCTGCCATGTGGCACAACGCTTAACTGCATCCATCACTCTTTTCGGCAGACTTACGCATCTACGTTGCTGTGACGTCATACAACCCCCTGCGCATCTACCTTTACGAGGACGGACTCGCCAGGTGACCGCACACAGCCCTGCCGGCTCATTTTTCGTGACTCTCTATGAGCTACTCCCGCGACTGGCCATGACATGTCCGCCGTCCAATGTGATGCCATAGATTTGCCACCACCCGCTACGACTCTTCAGCCCGTAGCTTTCGCAATACATTTACCCATCTCACCAACTATTCGATCAACAAGAGCTCCTCCAGTTATGGTGCGGATTGCTCGTGGCACGGCGGCGCAATAATCTTTTGGATGAGGTCTGACTGAGATTTTTTTTTTCTGCCAATGCAGTGGCTTGCGACGATGATGATGTTGAGGACTACGGCAATAAGTGGTGGGTTTCGTATGTTGGATGACAAAGAACAGACTTCTTTTTGCCCGTTCCTGCTTTGCCTTGCAACGTCAGACCGCTCTGTGGTGGTGAACGACCGCGCTTCAAATGCCTGTACCTGATGGTACGTTGGACGCCCTGACGACTTCTCACGAAGCCCTTGGTGATTGAACAGGTCCCTTTCTGCGTTGCTACAGTATCTCAATCAACAGGGTGTAGATACGGTAAGATCATGGTCAAATTCATCCATCAGGGGCTCGGCTGCAAGACATACAAAGGCGCACACTCGGAAATACCGGCACATCTTTGCATCCATCTATTCCATGACTTGACTTGACCCGCACGAGCAACTCATCGGTGCAACTTGACTTTGTTCGAAACACGCTGTGTGTCGTGGCTTTGCGCAGGCACTGTTGATGTCGCGAATCGAGGATGTTGTCGTCAAGTCAATTGTGGCTGTGGAGCAGCCCATCGCTGCAGCGTGCCGCAGCTACGTGCCCCATGCGCACAATTGCTTTGAGTTGTACGGCTTTGATGTTTTGGTGGATGACAATCTCAAGCCTTGGCTGCTGGAAGTGAACCTTTCGCCCTCGCTTGCCTGTGATGCACCCCTTGATCACAAAATCAAGACGCATTTGATTGCCGACTTCTTGACGCTGGGCATGCTTGGGGTTTACGACCCCGTTGTGGCACGCGATGCTGCGCTTCGCCGCATGCGTGGCATCCAACCCGTCAAGGAAGCCACCAAGGTATCTTGAAGCATAGGTTTATTCGGGCAAGACAGGCCTCTTGGTGTGTAACATCTCACCAATGTGCTTGTTTCCTTTCTGCCAGGATGTGCATGATATGACCTTACTTGCTGACGTGGAAGCCGATCCGCGCTTCTCACATTTGCACAAGCTTCCCGATGATGCCAAAAAAGCTTGCAGGTCGTTTGCCGCGGTGTCAATTCTTCGTGTGAAGAGTAGTGCCTGCTGTCCGTGTTGGCATGGTGGAGTGATGACTGCGGTGTGTCTCAAATTTAGGCGTGCATTGGACGAGGAGGTCTGCTGTCAGTACGGTGGCTTTTCACGAATCTTTCCTACCCGAAACAGCTGGCTTCTCTACCAGTACGTGTATTCAGCATGGATATTAAGTGACGTGCCACTCGCCGTAGTGGTAGAGAACTTCTGATTTAACGTTCACCTATGCCTATCATCCCAACTCAGTTCCTTTCTTGAAGACCAAAGCGGCTTGAACCATGTATTGCACCGCTTTCTTTACCCCGGGTAAGCCGGAAGCGTCCAACACTCCGAAGTTGTGTTGCATCTTGTGATACCACAGCAGCCGCTCACCTTAAACGCACAGGTTGCTCCCACGTCGGCCAACGTCGGCACAACGAGTTTCAACGGCTACTCCAGATGCTGAGGATGTGTGCAAAGACCTGTCTTACTCTTTTGCCGCTTGCTCACGTGCCTTGGCATCTCTCTTCGTCCAGACCTCATCCTCATGATTTTTCTTTTTGTTTGCTTTTGATGCATGGTGTAAAGGCGGAGTGGGATCGTCGCTATCAACGGTATCTGCGCACGCTGCGTCATCGGCACCGCGCTTTGAGCGCGGCTGTCGACGAGGAAAGCAGCCCACTAGGCGCATCAGCCACACCTTGCCGAGATGCCGGCCATGACGCAGCTGACGCCGACAGTGAACCCCGCCTCGGACTCGACCATGGTTTTGATACCGGATCCAAATCGTCTGGAGTCAGTTTGGACGACCCTGATAAGGCGTCAGAGACGGTTTCACCAAAGCTCCCGGCCTGGGTTGAGAATATGAGGTGCGCAGCTGCATGTTTACGGCTTGATGCACACAAATCCGTCATTCAAGCAAAAACCCTCTTACACCTTTCAACCTTGTGGCAGCCTGCCCCAGTTTCGGAGTATGCTGAGCCTCTATCTGAGCCGGGTGGCAGAGCGTCTCCGTGCCAACGCTCGCTCAGGTATGGCGAGGCCCTTAACGTGGAAACCATTTGTAGGGCTCCACAATCACAGGTGTGCGGGTCACCACTTGATAGATAATCGAAATGTTCGAGTGAAACAAGCAGAGTTAGACCTGCTGCTTCGCTTCCTGCATGCCGAAGGTGGTCACTGGCAACGGCTTGTCAAGTTGGATGGCAAGCCCTCAGGGCATGCCACCATCGCGCAACAACAGCTGTGGACGGCAGACCGGATCGAAGCATTTTTGCGCTTCTACGATGGGGATACGCATGCGCTTCGACGCCAGGGTCCTGCCGAGGTACTGGACTTATTGGTGTTGTATTCTCACTGGCCGATGGCGTTGACTGACAACGCACCAATCCAACATATCGCATCTCCCTCGCTCTTCTCCTCTGTAGACGACGGCCACGGTAACACTTGAGCAAGCGCCTTTGAATGACCGTGAATTCCAATATACAATCGAGGCCCTCCGGTGCGTTTGTCTCGTACGCGACGCCGCTCAAAGTGAGGGGCTGCATCTGCACCCGCCTCATATGCTGTGCATGCGCGTCTACGTATGTTGGATATTGGCTAGCGAGGAAGCCCTGGAAGCTGCGCTGTTGCATTACCAGCGCTCCAAGACTGAGGCAGGAACAAGAGGAGATAGCGCGGCCAAAGATGGTGGAGTGAGACCTGCACCACCCACCTCAGCACGACCTAACATTCGCCGTGAGATGGCAGCATCCATGCACAGCCAGCTCCCAAAAGGCCAGCCGAAAGACTCGCCGCAAGGAGTTGCGCCGCCCTTACAAGCTGCAGCTGCTTCGTACGTCGATCTATGAGGCTTCAGTCGTGTGAAGATGCGTGCCAACCGAATAGGAGACTCCCCTCCATGCACACCCTTTCCTCCCAGTTGCCTCCCTCAACTCACCGCGCCACGCTTGCATTTTAGATCCACATCTGTCGAACAAATTTTACGCCGACTCCAAGCTCACTATTAAGGCCCCTTGCCTACGGCGTCATGGTCAACCGGCTGTATTCCTACGCAATGGCCATTGTGAAAGCATGGATTCAAGTGGCCTTCATTGACACCAATCTTTGTTCTTAGCCATTGACTGCCGGCTGCCGGCTGTGGAGCAACTGGGAATTTATTGGCGCTTGTATCAAATGGAGATTTGCAGCTACAAAGCGCTAAAGCAAACAGCAACCCACGATACTCTTGCTTGTGCCTTCACTGGGCGACCAGAAAAAGGCAGGCCAAGGGGAGCCGGCAGGGGACACAATTTGTTGGCCCACAAAAACAGATTTGTTGTGAACGATCTGAACATCGGCAAAATCACTCTTGGCACGGATGGCATCCACCACTTTGGTGGGCAGGTTAGCTTCTGTGCAGGCATGGACCGCCAAGGGGCCGTCCACCGTCATGTAAGAGTCACGCTCAGGCAGCGAGGCGTAATCATCTAGAACATATTATAATGCAAATATGAGAAAACACGAGTGATCGCTGGCCGCTCCTCATCGACCTCAGCAATTTTCTCAACATTGATTCAGGCTTCCCCGACGAACAGCGTCCAGCATATGCGTATATAGAAGCGTGTTACAGGCGGGCTCCATTTAGAGCTCAACAGGAAATGCTTCAAGCCTACACGGAATTTTGCGAGAAGCTGCGAAAAAAACGCGTATCACCTCGCCGTTTCTTTTCGGACCTGGATCAACTGCGTCAAGATGGCAACTCGGCCGTGCATCCGGTTCGCTACCGGGACATGTCTTTGAGAACCCTAATGGTTGCATTCCAGGACATGACGGCAACGGATTCGTGCTGCGCTGTGGTGTATGGGGCAATGAACGCATACTTGAGTTGAAGGCTGCGCGTCGCACCCGGCTCGCTTTCTGCAGTGCGCCTTTTCTCGTTCCTCCTCTCCGGCAAACCCAACCTGGCTTCAATCGATGCTGCTCTTCCGTGTCTTCTTTGGTCCAACAAGTTTACGGGAGAAAAGACGGAGACAGGGGCAGCCACAAAGTGCGTGCAGGCACACAAATCAAACTCCACGAGGGATGGCTGGTGCTATGTTCTCATCACCAGCTGGCTCATCACCAACTTGCCCTAACTCCTCAGTGTTGCCTCACGCGCACTCTCGCCCATCCTCCATCGTCGTGTTCTGTGATGCACCAAAGCAAATGCTTCCTCTACCCATACGGAATAAGAGCCCTTGTCCTCGTTCTGTGATGCACCAAAGCAAATGCTTCCTCTACCCATACGGAATAAGAGCTCTTGTCCTCCGTGAGCGGGAAGATAGAATACTGGACCGACTCCCTCGAAGAATCGAGCAAAGCCCACTATGATCTCAAACGCCAGCCGTCCCTCACCCTCTGCATCCACACACACACACACACACACACACAGGTGCACACTGGCGGGGGCTGGTATTGGTTTGTCTTTGCGCCTTGTGGTGGCTGCGATAGGGACTGGGCATGGATGGCTGACAGTTGGTGGTGCTGGCTTTAGGTGACCTTGACGTCAAGGAACACGATGGTGTCAAACAGGAGCTGCCTCCGCGTGGTGGCGCTGATTCTTGGCCTGGCAATGGCAGTGGTGGCGCAGCAGGTGTGTCCGTTCCCTGCCTGAATATCCATCCCGCGCCTGACTCACATTCATGCTTCACACGTCAAATCGCTTGCCCTCTTCCATCGTCAGACGGCTCGCCTCGACAATGGCTACGATCCCAACCCCAACCCGCAGGTGGGCATATGGGCTCACCCCAGGGGCGGCCACTGGCTACAACCATATAGGATTGACGCCCTGCCCAGATGCGCCATGGCATTTTCGTGGCTTCCACCCTCTTCCACGCCTCTCGGCGCAATTCCCTTTTAAACAATGCTCGGATTGAACGAAAATCACGATGAAACCACAGGTGTCTGCTCCCCATATGTAAAAAAACCAAAAACATGATGGCTGGCTTTTTCAACACCGAATGGATGTCTTGAACACCTCTTAGACAAGATGGATATGAGGTCTTTCCCCACAGCTTTGGGACGCTCAGCTCGAGTATGGAGAGACCTTTCAGGTGTCGCATGCCTGGCGTCAAGCAAAACTCGCCGTCCAGACCAGCTCTCGCCTTCCATGGTCCCTCGGTACATCGAAACAGCGCCTTGATAAAGCAATAATTTCCATGTATTTTTTCCACATTTTTCGACGATTTTAAACCTTTTTTTTCTGACAAACGCGATGTACATTGTCATCCATTTTCGACGCACATCGCAATGTTGGCAAGATGGGCCTCACGAAGCGCTGGGCTTGTGGTGCAGGTGGCTGCTCCCGCAGCTCGGGGCTTGACTGAGCAGGGGTGGCGTGGGAAGGAGGTGGTGTGGCAGCAGGCATGGGTACGTGGGTTGAAGACGGCTCAGGTTTTGAGCAAGACGCGGGATGTGACGGGGTCCTTGCCTGGTGAGCCAAGAAAACGGGGTGCGCCTCGAGGCAGCCTCCAGCCTCGCCACGAGGAGAAGCGGCGTGACTCAACTCGGAAAGATGAGCTCTTTGATGCCTCGGGCCGAGGCAACCGCCACTCAAAGACGGAGCGGCCGGATGCTCGAGCTAGTTATGCGCGCGACCGGTCCGAGCGCAGGAACGACCGGTCTGCTGGAGCCGATTATGCGCGTGACCGGTCCAAACGCAGGAACGACCGGTCTGCTGCTGGAGCCGATTATGCGCGTGACCGGTCCAAACGCAGGAACGACCGGTCTGCTGCTGGGGCCGATTATGCGCGTGACCGGTCCGAGCGCAGGAACGACCGGTCTGCTGCTGGGGCCGATTATGCGCGTGACCGGTCCGAGCGCAGGGACAAGCCAGACCGCCGCATTCACCGCGATGCGGTCGAGAATACGGCCAACTACTGGAATGCTGCTTTCAAACAATTTGGTGACCAATACAAAAATTTGAGTGCTTGGGATCGTGGGGAGGCACATCGTCGTGCCACGGAAGATCTGAACGAGCTCCTCTCAAAGTTCAATCGCCGAAAGGAGGTGCGTCTGGTCCTGGTGCTTATCAGCCTTTGCTGCCCTCATGAGCGACGCTTCCTATTTGCCAGAGCGTTGTTTGCATTCATTGAATGGCGCCCCTGCAGGTGAAGCTGAATATTGGCGTGTACAATCATCTGCTTCGAGCCTACGGCATTGTTGGCGACGCTGCTACGGTGCGTCATGTTGTCCATCGTTAGGTCGGGTCGTCAGCATCAGTTCGCCCATCCACAGTTTGGAACATGATTTAGGCAGTGGAAATGTTCAAGCTGCTCGTTCAACGTTCGACCCCAGTGGATACTTATTCACTCTCTGCAGCCTACTTGGCAGTGCAGAGAAGCCTGGCGCCTTTGCGGCATCTCAGCCAGAGTACGTTTATGCGTGGGGCATTGTCTTATCCCTGCCATGGCTACAGTGAGCCCGGTCTTGTGACGCATGTGGTTCACGGCTTGGCTAGGCGAGTTATCAACGTATTTTGATGGTTCTGAGCGTCCCGAACGGCCGCGTCATACGGCAACTGCCGCAGCCACACCTACTCAGGCCCCCACAGACTTGCATGTGCTTCTGGAGCAATTGCAGTCTTGTCACGACTTGAGCTTGGAGAAGGACTTGCCCCGCAACAAGTTCACCTACAACGCTCTGCTTCAGGCCTTGCTCAGTTGTCGTGCGCATGGGGGCATGGTCCAGGTGTTCAACGACATGACTTCAGAACATGGTCGCTGGGCAGCTGAGTCCCGCCCTGATGCGGTCACCTACTCACTCATGCTGCGCGCGTTTCTCGAAACGGGGGAGCGCGCTCGTGCGCAGCAATTGTTAAAGATTGCCAAGCTGGAGTGTGGACACGATTTGGGATTGCACCGCCTCGTGGTGCTCGACGCCGCCCGTGACCAGCTCCTCAAATCTGGCTCGGCTTCAGCACAACAACACGCGTTTGGTGTCTTGGGCGTGTTGTGCGAGGAATTGCGCCAGAGAGCACATGCCGTGCATCGCGCAGAGCGCTTGCCTTTAGCCCGGGCCGTCTCCCAGCTATTGCACAATCGGGCTGAGCGTGATACTGCTGCTTTTATTCAGCAATTCGAGCTGTTTTCCAGCAGCATCCTCAAGAACCCAAATCTGGACCTCGATCTTTCATGGCACCGCCAGTTTGTGTACCGATTGTTGCGAGACGGTGCCCGGCTCAAAACGGCTACTCTGCCTTTTCCTGCACTTCTTCAGTCATTGCGCCGAAGCTGCGCCAAGCTGCACCAACACAGGGGTGCTCCCGCACTGGATTCACTCTTTGAGCGCGTCAAGGCTGATCCAAAAGTTCTCACGGTACGTGGTGAGGGTTGGTGCCTTGACCGTAACACCCCCAGCGTTGCATTTCATGCAGTCCGTGCATCACGATGAATGGGCTCAGAATCCCTGGGAGGTTGCCAAGACCCTCGACGATCCTCTTCAGTCGCTTCACGCCTTGGCCCGCCAGAAGGTAAGGCTTTCAAATAAGGGTTGGAAATCAAACGCTGTTTTGCGCTTGGCACTGGGCTCTAAGCATGCAACGCCGGTGCCTCCCCTGGTCGATGCATCCACTTCTTGCAGACGCATGTCCGCAGTCGTGAATGGAGCCCAGCCATCCGACAGGCGTGCCGCAGGTATGCACACTCGGAAGAAGTAGACGCCGGCTCTTTGCAGCCCGTGCTCAATTACTTGGAGGCGTGCCCGCCGGAAATGCCCAAGGTATAAACTCCAGCAGCATGCTTCCTCGTGACGACAGCATCCCTCTCAACCTGGGCCCCCTTTATATGCTTTGGCTGGGTTTTGTTCTTGCAGCGTTTGATGGAGGATGTTTGCTCCTACATCAACTGGGCCATGCATTTCCGCCCAAATGCCATGTTCCTGGAGCGTGTTGGCCAGATAGTCGGACCTTTGGTATGCCCGATCAGTCCTTTTTTTAACATGTTGTTGGTAAAATCTCTCTCTGGGGAGGTTCGTTTTCTTTACGGTTGCTGACTTTATGTTTTGGGCTCGTTTCTTGCTTGTTTATAGCGCGGCTCTGAGGTGGGCATGGTGAACAGTGCTGACGCGCCTCGAGAGTGGCGCCAGCATCGTATCCAGGTTGAGTCAAGGGATACGGATGAAGTCCAGGTGGCCACAGTACCAGTTCATAACCACCTGTTGCAGAGGCAAACCTCGAAGTTGGCGCCGTACAAGCTATGGGCCCAAGCCGAGCGCCAGGCAAGCGCACGCTTCCACTTTAAACGTAACAATGAGTGGCGATCTGCATTGGGCATGGCGATGCTCAACATACAACGTGCACGCGCCGATGATTGCGGTGGGAGATCGTGAGAGAGAGTGAGGGGAAAAAAAAAACACCGTCAAGGCCAGGGAAGAGGTATTTGCGTTAAATTGTATTTGACATGAATGTAAGCTCGACAATTGAGTGCTTGATCAAGGCCACGTGGCATTGAACGCCTTGGTTCCCGTTCTTGGCTAGCGGTATGAACAAACCAATTTTGCCTCAGAGTGGGGTAATGGCCAATTTGATACCGGTGCGCGTATCAGCAGAATAGCTCGTGAGTACTTCGTTGCCAAGTTGGACCGGGGTGGGATCTAGCATTGCAGCAGATAGTGAGCACGGTGAGGGGCCAAAGAGAGAAGGAAAAAAAAAAAAAGAAAAAGAAAAACAAAAACAAAAAAAGAAAAGACGAAAGAGGTGAAGGATGAAGCTGAGGGTGCGTCATAGTCATACATTGGTATGTAGTGGACATGTTTGATTCCAACGTGGCATAGTGGGTCCAGGAGACACCGTCGCGAGTATAGGCCAGGTCAAGTGGCAGGCGCTGCGTCTTGGACGGATTGTAGGCCAGCATGAGTCGGCCATCGCGCAAATTGGTCATGCACACCTGGTGGGTCAGGAGACCAAGACGGGCAAGTGGAGGTGGGGGCAAAGCGTGTGAGCAAGGGTAAAATCACGATCAAAGAATGGGCGCGTCAGGGGCGCTTGGCTGAGATGATCAAATTGACCTTGGCGTCAGGATTTTGCAGAGGAGTGGGTTGCGCGTTGCTCCAAGTTTCGCCGTTGTCGTTGCTCACAGAGGCGTAGAGGTAACCAATTTGTGTGCGGAAGAGCTGGTCCGGTATGGGTAGCATCGGCAGTGGGTTAGATGCGGGACTTTGTTGAAACAACGCACACGCTCGCAGATGACGGTTGGGGCTGCTGACCTGCAAAATCGATCCGTTGTTAATGGTGCCAAGTGTGTTTTCAATCAACCTGTCGTCAAGCGCGAGCAACGAGCCGATCAGAGTAGCGCTGGGACCCTGTGAGTTGGACAGCAAGATTTTGTCTGCGCACCAGGTGTCAGAGCGGTTGACGCAGCCATAGGGCGTCCAATTCTGGCCTTGGTCATCCGAAATGAGGACGCCAGAGCAACCGGGGCCGATGTCATACACGGTATGTTGCTCCTATGTCGAGTCCGAGGAGAGATGAGTGAGCGGCTCTGTTGTTCCTGTGTATCTGGGACAAGCCGTCTCACCTGCCAAAAAGGCAAGAGCCAGCGACCATTGCGCACAAGCATCGTGTTGGCGGTGACCTTGGCAATGTGGCCACGATCCTGGAAACTAACATCAGCACAGGAGATGTTCAGGGTGATGATGTTTCATTGGATAGGGATGGCCGCCACAGCCTTGTTAGAGTCGGGGTGTGCAACGCACGTTAGAATGGTGGTGGCGCTGCTCCAGGTATGGCCACCATCCAGTGAAGTGCGGTAGCGCACCTCTCCGCCGGGATAGGAATGACCATACTCCTGCCCCGATCAGTATGAAGGGATGGGCGGTGAGGGCCTTGGGTAACGGAGTGTAGGCGGGCGAACTGTTGATCCAGTTGGAGGACTTACGCCACATTTGGAGTCGTTGCGATAATCATACTGTGTGGATTCCGAGTAGAAGAGCCACAGCTTGTTGCTGTCGGGCTGCAGAAACAAAGAGGGCCTGTGATATGAACGCGCAGGTGCAACACCAATCCATGAGGACGAGATGTGAGCAAGGAAAGCAAAGATGCAACGATCGATGGTGTTGTGGAGGGGATAACACACCCCCAGACGGCATAGTCACCCGTGATGGCGGCAACAGGAGGCGTCCAAGAACGGCCAGCGTCGTCGGACCAAGCAAGGTAGATGGCCTGGTCATTGCAGCCCTCGCCAATACTGGAGCCTTGCCAAGCTGCCACAACACTGGTGTTGGACAAAGGTGCCAGCATAGACATGTGCGTGTCTACAAGAGGATGACAGCTGGGTGAGCCAGGCAGCTGATCGCGTCCAGCATGGAGAGTCAACGGTGCGTCTGTGGCGGGAGGGCACGTGAATGCTCCACGAATGCTGCACGTACATGTCATGTTGGGGTTGACGCGTGCAATCCAGACAAGCTCCGAGGTTGGATCGGCCTTGGCCACAACACCAGCCAGCACAACGATCATGGCCCAGTGGGTCAGCTTCATGCCGATCGACCCGCTGCCATTCCCGCGCCCACCACTGGCGCGACGTGGTATCATCATCATCATCATCATCGTTTTCTTGTTGTCACAGGAAATACAACAAATAACAATCTTCAAATTGTCATCATTTTGAAGTGGCCATGACAAATTCAAGCGACGATATGGTTGGGGTCTTGCTAGCCCATGGCGCCGATCCCGATCAGACTATAAAGCTACGTAGCGGGAAAAGGCCCATGCCGGCCCTACTGTTCGCACTGGAATGCGAGTCTTGGCATGCGGTCGAGTTGCTGCTTTTGTATGGCGCCAATGCAGACGTGGCCGAACCAGAAGGCGATCACGCACTCTTCACTGCCATTTATTGGGGTGATCTCGCAACGGTCCGACGGCTTGTGCACAGTGGCTGCAATCCAAACACACTTGACGCGAAAGGCAGGACGGCAATTCAGTATGCCTCTGATCGCGACAAACCAGAGATTGCCGACTGGTTGAAATCTGTGTTGTTGGTCTCCAATTGATTTTTATTGATTTTAAATTATAATTGCAGGTAGCACACACACACACACACACACACACACACACACACACACACACACACACACACACACACACACACACACACACACACACACAAAGAAAAACCTGTGGTTTGTGGATTTCAATTTCGTTTACAAGTTAATCATGTACGGCATGACCCCATATTCGCGACAAAATGTAATGTGTGACACGCCACCGTTGGTCAAGCAGACGAAGGGATAAGTCGGGTTGGTTGTCACTTCGCATGCCGTATTCTAATAGTAACAGTGCTACTTTTCGAGATATGTAGACGCCCGAAGGTGGCAGCTACGATCAGTGGCGTTTCGCCGTGTCGGTTGGTCGCGTTTACATCTGCGCCATACTGAAGTAGCGCGTGAACGGCTTCTAAATTGCCATAGGCAACAGCCTGTGTAAGAGGCGTGTCACCCACTTTGTTCTTGTGGTTCACATCCGCTTTGCATTCAGACAAAACGCGAATCACGCTGTCATGACCACGCATCGCTGCCATTGATACCGCCGTGTCGCCGTCCCGATCGCATCTGTTCACATCCGCTCCTCGCACCACTAGCACATACACGGTGCCTTTATGTCCGTTTCTGGCCGCCAGCATCAATGACGTACACCCATCAGGGTCAACTTGGTTCACATCCGCGCCGTACTTAAGTAAAGTACGTGCCATAATGGCACGCCCACGCGTACTGGCGTACATTAACGCTGTACGGCCATATTTATCGCGTGTACTTATATCCACGCCACTGCATACCCACTGTTGGACGGTGGCCACAATCGCACTTTCGCATTCTTCTTTGTCTACCGTGACCGGTGTTGGAATATCCATGTCTCTGAGTACAATTACATGTGATTCGCGATCAGGGGAAAAAAAATGTCGGTGAAAAGCAAATCAATTCATTTATTTTGGTGTGTTAAAATCAACGGCGTTTGATTTGGGACTGCAGTGCGAGTGTGTACTCACAACACTTAGAAAGTACGAACGCGCGTGAGGATGTACTCGGTCAAGATTTGGCGTTGTTTACTGATGTGCGCCTTTGCCGTGTCCAATAAAACATCTTCGGTATAGTCACGCGCGCCATGCTCCAACAGAAAAAGCGTGGTATAGTAATGGTATCTGGAAGCCGCCATAGCCACTAGTGACTTTCCATCTGATCCAACCCAGTTGACATCCATTCCGCGGCGCCAAAACAGCTCTACCATGGGCATTTTAGCTGCTATGACAGCATGCGCGAATGGAGTCATTCCACACGAGTCCGTTGCGTTCATGTCAGCACCATTATCCAAAAGATATTCAGTGATGTCCACGAAACCACGAATGACGGCATGTGCGAGGGCAGTCCAGCCACATGGCGTACGAGCGTTAACATCAACGCCCTTCTTCAACAAAAAACGGATCGTCTTGATGTCGACTTGATGGGCGTTGATGGCCATCATCAAAGTAGTTTTTCCGGTGCGACTAACCACATGCACATTGGCGCCCTTGCGTACCAGAAATTGGACTTCTTGGAACCCGTTTTCGTACCCAGCGATCGCCTGCTCCAATGCAGTACAGCCAGTGGCATCTGCGGCATGGATATCTGCACCGTACTTCAACAAGTACTTCATGCACTTTTTACACCCAATCCAAGCGGCTGCGGCCAGGGCCTCGGTCTTGGCCGAATCAGAGAGTATGTCTGATTTACGACTCAAGATGCAAAGCACGACGTCACAGCGCGATTTCCTAACAGCCACTGTCAGGGCGGCATCGCCGAGATGATCGATGGCCGTTACATCCGCACCTGCCTTCAGCAACAAATCAACACAGGCAATGGATTTAAATGCATTTTGTTTGATCAATCGCAGCAAAGCCGTCACACCAAAATTGTTGGCGTAGTTCACGTCGGCCTTGTATGCCAACAACAAACCAATCATGTCCTCCGACGGGTGATAACAAGCTGACATAAGGATGGACTCGTCGCCGTTCCCAATGTTCGGATCAGCACCGCGTTCCAGTAAATAACGTGCCAATGGCACGTTACAGTAGCACACGGCTTTTGACAGTGCCGATGTGTATGTGTATACAGGACCATTCACGTCGGCACCGAGATCCAAACACGCGATCATCGGGTCTGTCAGATGAACCCTGGTCATATTGACGGCATCTGAAAAGGCGCACTGCAATGCATGTTTGCGCAAAAACGCGGTTGGTGCTCGGTCTACCAACTCCTTCAACACGCGTGTATGACCGTTTTCAACAGCCAAGTACACCGGGGTCTGTCGCTGGCGGTTAAACCGCCCCCAAGCCGCACCCTTATCAAGAAAGTAACACACCAACTCAGGGCAGCCACACCGGGATGCCAAATGCAAGGGCGTGTCACCATCCTCAAAGACGTGATTCAAATCCGCGCCATATTCCACCATTGTGTGTATGATGGGTGCGTTGTTCGTTTCAATGGACAGCTTGAAGGCGGTGGCCATTTCTGGGAGTTTGAGATCCACACGTAAACCACGCTTGCACATCAAAGCCACCAGTTCACCACGGCCGCTGCGAATTGCCAACGGCAAAAACACCGTTGAGCACGGCTTTTTGTGGATCACATTTGTGTCCGTTTGCAACAGCTTGTGCAGCTTGTCCAAAATGGGCCCGCTGTCCAGTTCGCTGTGGGTAGGGTCAACTATTACGCCATCCAACACAAGGCCGATTTGAATGTCCACCTCCCTGTCGAGTGTCCCTCGACGGGTGCGCTTGGCGATCGGCTCTGTCATCATCAACAAGTAAGCTGGTAATCAAGTAACCATACACTGATGGAACTAAAATACCAGTCAGTGCAAAAAAAAAATGAGTTGCTAGGCGTGCAAGACTTTGCAAGCGACCTTCGTTTGTGAATTAAAAAGGCACAAAAACATGTGTAAACTTTTTTCACACTTCCGGTGGCACCCTTTGTAATCAAAGGTTTCTTTACCTAATTTACCGTTACTGAGTCATGCCTCGACCGCGCGAGGCCATCGTCTCGGCGGATCGCCTGTTGCGAGATAGCCGCTTCTCGGCCAGTGCTCGCCGGGCAATCTTTCAAAAAAGGAAGGATTACGCGTCAAAAGTTGCGTTGGCGTTCTTTTTGCAGACGTTGGCCCGCTTGGTGACTGAGCATCGAGCCGGTCTTCTCCCTGACGACTTTAATGCTGACGAAGCTATCCTCTTCCTCTGCCTGGCGGCGACAAACATGGTCAAGAATGCAACTCGTGAATTGGAGCGGCCGCCTGTTGTAATTGCTGAGAATGGAACTCCTCACGTGAACTTGGCTCGTTTTACAGAAACGGCATGGGCACAATGTTTTGGACTCACAAATGCGGCGCAGTTTGAGCGACTAGCAGCCGCGCTGGCCCCCCATATCAACGAGCACCTGCCCGTCCCACTCCGGGAGGCCCTGCTCGCTTTCTTCGCTCTATTCCACCGATCGTCGCGCCTCATCGACGCCATCCACACCTTGGGAGTGTCCTGGACGGTACCCAAAATGTCTCAAGTCATAAATCAGTTTGCGCTGGCCGTGGCGAAAAAGTTTCAGCGCCGGTTGGCCTTTGATGCACGTTTCTTTCAACCGGACTGGACCACAGCCGCTGTTGCTGCCGTGGCCGCAAAAGGATCTCCATTGCCAGGAATTTGCGCCTTCATTGACGGCACTGGTCAAAACCTGGCGCGCCCTAAAGGAAAAGACAACCAGGCCGCCTTTTACTCTGGTAAAGACTCGGTGAGTTGACTGCCGCCCGCTTTTTTTTTTTTTTTTTTTTTGTGCTGGGCCTCATGTTACTATACATTTTGTAGAAGCACACCACTCGCTATCAAGGTGTTGTGGCACCGAACGGTGTCCTCGTCAGTTTTGCCGGGCCATGGCGAGGTAGGGAGTGCCCGGCTATTCGGATGCTCACTTGGATGTTGGTTGCCGGGACCTGGCTTACCTCAACGTACTGACTCCACTAGGGCCGAGGCATGATGCTTACATACTCGAGCAATCGGGCTTGCTCGATAACCTTAAGCGAGTATGGCCCGAAGAAACACCATGGTGCTTGCTGGGAGACTCAGCGTATCCTAGGTCGAAACGCCTGGTACGCCCCGCTAAGCGTGACGAGGGTTGGACGGCGACAACTGAGGCACTAAACGCTGAGCTTGGGCGGCTCCGTATTGTGATTGAGTGGGCCTTTGGTGCTTCCGGATATGGAGTTGCATCGCGCTTTGAAGGCGTTGTAGATTCACGTCGGATGTTGGTTGGCGAGCGGCCAGTTTCGGCCTACATGCTCACAGCAGTATTGCTGACCAACATGATTGTGTGTGACGACCAGAGCAACCCCGTTGCTCAGTATTTTGGCCATAAGTTGGCGATCCCTTCCCTGACAGAGTATATGGCGCCGCTATCTCCTTCGGAACGCTGAATGTGTCTGACAAGGCAGGGATTGGATAAGAATCAAGGGAAGGAATTCAAATTTATTCTGTTGATCAAACATGAAATATTTTACTCTCGTCACTCCTTTTGCGATGACCGGGCGCGCGTAGACCGGCGCTGTGTTTGTTCCGGGGCTTGCGTCTCCTGCATCGTTCGCTTGCCGGTATCTACGGTTGTCGGCAAAGTGTCCTGCCGTCCACTACCAAGTAAAATCGACTTGAGCTCTTCAATAGACTGCTGAATGCCTGTCACCTTTTCGTTCATGACAGACATGTCTGCCTTCATCTCACTCCTCAGAGCATCAACAAGTTGCTGCTGTTGCGATAGGGCAGGCTGGCGCAAGGTTACAAGGGCCTCGCCGATGGCTCCTTCAAACCAGCCTGGTCTCATCCCTATATGGGAAGATTCATCTTCAACGAGGGCCCGATCGGTTCTTGCTTCGCCCAATCGGGGGTATGCTGCCGTCTGAGGTAAATCGGTGGATACCAGAGGCTCCGCGCACGGTTGCGACTCTGCGATCGCATCAGTCGCAAAGGCGCTTTGCTCATCATTGCTCTCAACATGAGGTGTGTGATCAATGCCCTCTGATGCTGAACGACTCGGCGTCAAAGAAGGAAGTGCGGCAACATGGTTTTGCCTGTCAAGAGGAAACACGCTGTGACCTCGATGCAAAGTGGCCTGTCCGGCCTCCTCGAGCACTGCTTGACGCAAGACAGCCTGCTCTTTTCCACGAGACTCAGCTTGCAAGACGGTCTCACGCTCCATCTTCATTGTACGAAGGAGTTGACTATACCGGCCCCAAATTTCACGACGCCCAGGAGGCACGGACGAATCATTGCTTGGATCCGCATTGCCTGTGTGCGGAATCTTCTGGACATCGCTCAGATATTGCTGTGTAACATCCCAAAAAACACCCCACCATTCGTGACGCGGGCCCATTCGAGATTTTGCGCCAGGCAAATCTAGGGTGTGCCAGATGTTGCGACGCAGCTGCGTGTATTCGCTCGGAGTGATTGATAACTCACTGAACAACCTGCCATCATCCCAGAGCATTTTTGAGCATCGGCAGAAAAATGCGCATACCATTCAAAAATGCTTACCACAGCTTCATGGCACGTTCATAGATACCCACGACTGTCAGCCAATCAATCTTGCCAGTTGTGGACCTTGCAGCGAGTTGCATTTCTGCCCAAGGGTCATTCAGTCATTCAGGTCGAACGTTCGAAATCTAAAACCACGAGTTGATTTAAGCTGAATGGCGACAGTCGGAGAACGAATAGCCTCGCAGGAGAGACAGGCAATAATCAACACCTGCCTTACCTTCGTTGGCACACAATGTTCAGCTGAGCTGCGTCAAAACACCTCAGACTGAGCTTCCGAGTTGCCGTTGACCGCCGAAGATGAAGCCCCATTTCCATGCCACGAGCGATCACCTCTTTGAGGCAGCGCTCTGATGCTTCCACAGGACTAACTGACCGACCAAGGATAGGGATCTGCAATAGGGAACAAGCACTTTTCAATTCTTCCTCCACCGCAGAGTCTCCACTCAGGGAAGCCATGGTGGCACTGCCGTTTATGGCGCCCTCGAGCTTTTGTGCCTTGCCGTCAAAAAATGCAAAAGCTCCTCTTCAAAAAGATCAAAAAGGCATGTTTGCACCAAATCTCGATTTTTGCGCCCACCTTTCGTACCGTTTTTGTCTGACAATGGATTTCGTCCCTCGAGGAGCTTTTGCACTGGTATCCAAAAGCTTAGTTACAAGGTAGTTATAATTGACGAATAAACTTCCTAATTGTTTTTTTTAATGGCCGGGTTGTCTGGTGCTTACACTCGATATTGCACACACGGACGGCACATCGCGTTTAAAGCTGTAAGTTTGAACCCAAGTATTTCAGTGAGTCCAGATCGATAAGACCGGGCTCATAGCACCATGCCATGTGTGTCAGTACCACCAGGCGTCGCTGGTAAATGGCTTTGGCGATGACTCGCAGCGGAAAGCGCCGTGCACGCCCGTTCATGATGATGGTCTGCAAGTCGATGTCGCTCGGTATTTCAGCACCACCCATGAGCATTAGTGCAAGGACATGCTCGGCGCGACAATACGCCCCGTCCGAACCGAACGCAGCACGGTTACTGCTTATGATGGCCAGTCGAATGGGAGAAAACTCGGGCTTGCATGCTTCTGGCATCGCAACCGCGCCGTGCTCGAGCATATCAATGACACACCTCAACGAATTGTATCTGAGGACGATGAACGACAACGCACACTGACCAATTAAATTCACGGCGTTGAGATCCACACCACACTCAAGAAGAACCTTCATGTCACATGCACGAAAGTTACCGCGCAGGTGTACGGCTGCCGCGATGCTGACAGTCGATCTTTCATGTGTGGTGTCGTTGGGATTCGCGCCGTGTTTCACCAACATTCGGAGACACGCGTGCCAGGCATTGGTGTAGCTAGCTCCGATACCCTCAAACAGTCGCACACACACGGAAGTACCAGTTTCGGTAATGGCGTTCGGATCTGCGCCCCTGGACAACAGTGATTTTATCGCCTTCAGATTCAAAGCACTCGCGGCCAGATGAAGCGGTGTATCACCGGAAATGCCAGTGCATTTCACGTTGATGCCTTTGTTGACCAGATACTCCATCACGCGTGGTGTGGCTTTGTATGCAGCTGTATGCAAGGCATTCCGCCCCGTGTTGGTCAAAGCATGAATATCAGCACCTGCTTTAATCAAATCACCCAGCATTCGCGTGGATGACATTCTACAGGCCAGTAAAAAGGCCGTGTTGCCATCACGATCCCGGTGATCGACATCAACGCCGCGCTTCAACAAAAACAAGGCGGCATCACGTCGCTTGTATCGCACAGCGATGTGCAGGGCGGTGTTTCCGGCGGCATCAACATGATGGACATCATCGCCGTGAGCAAGTAAATACTCGAGTGCCTCGATGTTACCGTGTTTGGCCGCGAACATCACAGCAGATTGGTTTGTGACCCCGCTTCTTTCCTGTACGTTTGCACCACACTCTACCAAGAACTTCATGATATCAGTGCGTTTGTGGTCGAGGGCTTGCATCAAAGGCGTCACCTTTAAGGAGCTTTTCAGTTCCTTCAACGTGTACCGACAGATGTCAGGGTCAATGGCCACCAACTCTTTGATGTGTGCAAAGTCGCCTTGTTTACATGCATTGACCAACGCGGTATGGCGTCCTTTTAGGGTTGGTGGTACCATGAACTTGGTGGCTTTGGGTGGTGGTTCGTCCATGATGATTGTAAAAGTGATTTGGGAATCAGGTGACCTTAACCAGTAAAAAGTACCAGAATACCAAAATACTAACTATGAGTAATTGGAAGGCTAAATGTAAAATGACACCATATACATGTAGTGTTTATATATATATATATATATGTGTGTGAGGCGCAGTCAAAATTCCTAGTAACTTGTTTTTCTGACGAATGGAGTTAGCAGCACGACCATGAGCGTTGGTGAGGTGAGAGGAGCCTCCAAAAAACCCGAACTTGATAGGGTACTCCTGTGACGCGCCACGACGCTGCCACCACAGACTGCCAAAAAGTCTGACATTTTCATTTCGTTCGCGTTCTCGAGTTACAGCTCAATCTTTGATGAGTCACAAACAACTACCCCTTACAGGTTGCATGCATAAAATAATCCTGCGTGGTGTTGCCAGGGACGACCGTCGCATAGCCTACACGGTTACGGCCCGGGGTACTGTTGCGCTGCGGCAGTACCGTGGCGGTCACCTGTGCGCCGTCGGGCTCAAGGGCAATGCAGGGTCCATTTGAAGGACGATGGGCATGTGATTTGATACAATCAATTGAAAGCGAGTTTCGACATATGGGTAATCGCACATAGCAAGACGTTAGACGGAAGCGAGCGCGTCACACCACGCCTGCGCGTCACGCTCGATCTCAGCGATGCTGCGCTCCTCGGTGTTAGGAGCTGGTGACGGGTTCGGGCAGAGTGCATCTGGTAGGATGTCGCGCAGTTCCTTATCGAACGTTCCAAACGTTGCCGACAGAGATGCCCCGCCTGTCTCGAGGCTGCGTCTCAAAGCCGCAAACTTTTGAGGCCCAGGGCAACCATCGTGAGCAGCAGCGGCCTTAAGCACATCGGCCATGAGTTGCCAGGTCTGTGCACTGTTCTTGGCCCGGTCGACAAACAGAGGGTAGTAGGCATTGACGATCCGCCCGAGGTCGATCTCAAAATCGTTAGCATTGAGTTTGCTCCAGACCTGTTCCACTCGCTCAAGCTCCCGTTCAACGCGGAGCTCCATTGATTTACTGGATACAGTCACTATCACAGGCGTGTTGTCAAACGTCAGAATGCCCTCGTCGTCTTGTACGGGGGCGGTGTTGATTCGTATCCACGCTTCGTTGGGTACGAGAGGCAGGTGTGTGTCGTCGGAAAAAATGATTTGTGGCTCATTCTTCGGTTTGAGGCTTGTTGTTGCCCATTTTTGCTGTAGCTTGATGTCGCTCGTTGTGCCGAAATCAAAACAGCTGCCCAAAAACACTTCGCCGCCATCTTCAAGTCGGTAGTAGTGAACGGCCACTGCCGCCATGTCAGTCACATCACCAAAGTTGAAAGCAAGCGGCGTCTTGATCACGATCAAATCGCGCAAAGTGTCAAACCGGTTGAAAAGATCGCGTCCCTGCTTGCGACTCGCATGCGGGTCGCGGTTGGCTATCTCCAGTTCAATGATCACAAAGGGAAGACGTGCCCCTTTGCGTCCAGTAACAAAGATCGCAGCGTCAGGACACTGCGTGGAACCTGCCAGTCTTCCGTCACTCATCACAAGGAAGCGGGCTTTCTTTCCTTGGTTTTGTTCAGCCCTGTAGTTTCCAGCTTGGCGTACAATTTCTGCGACACCGGCTCCGTGAATTTCGGTCGCGCCACAGGTGATGAAAAGACGGCGGGTGTCGTGGTCAAAGAAAAACTTGGCGCCGCGGGTGGCCGGCTGCGTCAAGTCCGGGCAGCAGTCGACGTTGTAGGCCACCAGCAGCCCCTCACCGTGAACACCATAGTCATGGGCGTGCTGCACCGCGCCCCGCAAGACGTCGGGCGGCACGCCGTCTCTCGAGGCGTCCACCGCCTCAAAATGCTCACAGCCATCTGCGTCTGCTGTGATACCACAGGCGCCAAAAGTGTCAAAGTTTGTGAGATGTATCGCCGAGCGCGCGTGCTTTGAGCCCGAGCAGGGCCCAACCTCCATCGTGTGAGACGCCCTGGTCACAAACGATTTGTAGAATTTCTGTACAACGCGCGCAAGGTCCAATTTCAGAGCGATGCCCTCGAGGCTGTGGATGTTTTCCCTCACCGCTGCAGCGAGCGTTGGTTGCTCGTCGTCTTGCACGTCCAGAACGCCGGATGGAAAAACAATGACCGCTGGCTCAATGTTGATGGCGAAGTGCTCAAACCCTTCGCGTGGCGTGGCGCGGTGGGTCTCCCACGACAAAGGTACGAAGGGCGGCAAGTCGTCGTCGCTCAACGGGTCCATCCAAGCGTTGCGGTCACACGCCACCGTGCCAAGGTCAAACGCGAGCTCGGCCGTGACAGGCGCGCCTGCCTGCTCGCGGTAGTAATACCCGACCGCAACCTTCATATCCGTCACCTGGCCAAAGTTGAACTCGAAGGGCGCAAAAATGACGACGAGAGCACGCAGCGTTGGGTAGCGCTCGAACAGCGTGCGTCCTTGATGGCGGCTTGCGGCCACCTTGCGATTGCCCATCTCAAGCTCGACGATCACGAGCGGCGATGCGGACAGCTCTCCGGCATCAATGGTCACGGCGACGTCCGGCGCATCCCCGAAATGGCTGATGACGCCGTCGCCAGCCGTGTCTAGGCGGTCGACGCCGAGGCGGTGGTTGTACGCATCGGCCCAGTTGCCCAGTTGCCGGCCAGCTTCCAATGCCCCGATGCCGTGGGGATGTGAAGAGGCGCAGGTAATGAAGAGCTTGCGCGCGTCGTCGTCAAAGAAGAATTTGGCGCCGTGAGCAGTCGGCTGCGTTAGGTCCGGGCAGCGGTTGACGTTGTAGGCCACCAGCAGCCCCTCACCGTGAACACCGTAGTCGTGGGCGTGCTGCACCGCGTTCCGCAAGATGTCGGGCGGCACGCCGTCTCTCGAGGCGTCCACCGCCTCAAAATGCTCACAGCCGTCGACATCTGCTGCGATACAACAGGCGCCGAAGAGTGCGATGAGAAACCACTTGAAGCAAACCGAAAGTACAACATGACGGGACAAACCTTGGTCGTTTTTCTCCAAAGCTTCTTCTTTCACGTCCCGTTCGTCCTGCTTGTCCTTTTCCTGTGCTTCCTGTTTCATATCCACATCCGCGCCGCTTGTGCCCGTCAGATCTGTGGCCCGGACGATGACCTCGCGTGAGCTGAAAAATCCACGGCTCCGTATGCCTCCATCCAACCCATACCTTGCTTGACGGTGCCAGCATCCTGGCTTGCAGTGACGCCCGTGGCGGCGGCCGCCGAGGCAGTGCCTAGGTTCGAGGGTGTGTGAAGTTTCGCAAGCGCGTGTCCCACTACAAACCCGAGTAAGGCCGACAATGACATACCCCGCTTCCGCGCTTTGTAGGGGCGCTTGGTTTTCGGGGCGCCGTCATCCTGCTTCTCCTCCTTCGCTGCGGCTATATCGTTGAAAACGTGAGTGTTCCGCAGTGAAACCACGCTGGTCAGAGAGCATAAGAATACATGTTGTTTTGACTGAAAACATTGCAGCGGAGACAGTTCATCTGAGCAACGTACCCTCCTCCATGCTGCTGGTGGCGACGGGCTGTTTCGCCTTCCTCACTGGGGCACGGTGCGATCACCGAACAGTGAGGGGTCAAAAGGTTCCGAGATTCGGTGATAGAAAAATAGCACTCCCAAGTGTGAGTGTCCTCACCTCTCACTTGAGCGTAAAACCGGTAGAGCTTTTCGTCGCGGCTCTTGGGGGGCGAGTGATCCGTAAACTCTGCCAGTGTCCAGGTGGGTTTGAGCTCCTCCGCCAGAAGCTTTTCCATCCAGGCAGCGTTCTCTGTCGTTGAAAATGAAGACCAATGGAGGTACAGAAGGTTTCTGTAGTCTCAATTTTCACTGACACACACGCACGTAAAACGAGCACAGATCAAATAGGAACATATGTGCGATAGATGGCCCACGTCAACTCATTTTGAATGTGCATTTGAAGTACACGGGTTTCATCACAAAGGTTTTGATTCAAGCGTCGTTTGCATAATAACAATGCCGTATCACCTTTAAAACGACCAGCAACAAGGCATGTCCCGGGTGACTTGTCATAACACAATAGCAATTTCACCATGTCAATGTCACCGTTACCAACGGCGATCATAAGGGGTGTTCTGATATGCTCGGGCTTGCCCCGGATCATGTGCACACCCGTGTCAGTCGATGCACCCGCGCATAATAGCATGCGAGCAATCGTGATATCACGATTAAGCACCGCGTAATGAAGCGCGTTCTTGCCGTAGCAATCGACTGCGTTAATAAATGTAAGGTGCGTGCATCCAAAAAAACACAATGCATCAACTATATCACTGTGACCGTATATTGAGGTTTGAATAAGCGATGTACGACTAATGTAGGTCCGATCCATAAGCGTCTGTCCTTTCATGAGACATGTCACAACAACATCACAGTCACCAGCCTTTACAGCCTCAAAAAAATCAGATCGCGTGGTCGTTTCGTGCTTGAATGAAACGGCTGTATCTGCATTCATGCTGATGGTGATGAGAATCAAACAATCGCGTCGAACCACGGCCGGCGGGATATCAAAAAAAAATGCATTAAAAATTGTGTACGTTCATCGCGCATACCATCAGAACAATAAAGTAGATTTGAAAATCAATTAATGTTTTTAGTCAAAAAGTGCGCTCTGCAATGCGAGCTTGTCAACGATCAGGGTGCCGGGCCATCAAAAGACAGCCCGGCCAAGACCGGGCGCCTTAGTTTTTGGTGCGCTTGTCAATGGCGTCCTGGATGAGCTTGGCGATCTCGGTATGTCCACAATCGGTGGCGCTCTTAACGGCGTTTTCCCCCTTGAAGGGATTGTACTCAAGACAGTAACCGGGGTCATCGTCGTGCTTCAGCAGATAATTTACAATTTCAACGGAGCCCATGCGAGCTGCAGTCATGAGTGGCGTGCGCTGTTGCTTCATTACAGCATCTCCAGCGTCTCCGTACTCGTACTCGTCTTCGTCAATGAACTCGTCGTCCACCCAGTTGTCTGGATCTGCTTCGTCCACGTCGCCTTCGAGTTCATATTGGTCCCACAGGCTGGTTAGCCTGGCTCCGTTCTCCACCAACAACTTGACGGCTTCAAGATTCTTTTGCTCGATGGCAAAGTGAATAGCCATCTCGCCACCAAAGCTGGTGCTGTTGATGAACGTTTCCTTGTCGGGTACAGCATCAATGAACGCGCGCATCACATCAAGCGCGCCACGCATGGCGGCCATCATGAGAATGGTGAAACCACCCATCGATGATGAACTAAACATGTAAAAGCCTGCACGGCGCACGGCCTCGAAGTGCTCCAATGATTCGCATACTTTTGAAAACTTTGTGCATGCACGAAAGCATTGCGAATGATGTGTCTCTGAAACGGCAGCGCTGCAGTTTGACGCTTGAGGTGCAGCCGCCTCACAACGCGCGGACGCGAGCGTGCGCGTGTGCACTGGTTGATGGATGAACATACTTGATGTTGGCCTTGTCTGGCTTTTGGGATCAGCGTGATGGACCTTTTTTTTCCACGACATGCCAATCTCGAGGTTGTTGCCACGAAACGCCTTCATGCTTGACATGAAGCGGACCGAGGTGCGCTGGTTGTTGGGAAACCCACTCGGGCTGGCCCGCCACCACACGCTCAATGACTGCCACAGCCCTTGCCACAGCGTTGTGGGGCTTGGGGACAGGGGGGGGGGGGGGGTCGATTTGGGTGGAATGCGTGGCACGTTGAAGGGGAAGCAAATCAATTCGCTCCCCCTCGGCTACAATGTTTAGCAAAGGGCCCAGGCGTTTGTGTCTCTTGTGACCAGATGTGCCTTGGTGCCCACCCCACAAGCAATCAGCCGCGGCACAGTACTGTATTGGCGATGGCCTTCATTTTCTTGCCATAGACCGAGGCGCCTGAGCCGTCTCGTGTCACCTACAACCCCAAGCTTTCCTCAATCTGGCTCCGTGGCGGTCGCTGCATCTTTCTACATCTTCCCAGCCACACCTGCTTGTGTGCCTGGGCTTGATAGCAACCCGTCTTCATGTTTACGTTTCGCTTTTCAGGCTCTTGCCTCGGGCCTCGGGCGCCTACGCGCAGGCTTGGTGTTCTCTTATTGCTATGCCTGTGGCTGGCGGCGCCCGAGTGCCGTGCCCAGCTGCCATTGGAACCCACGCCCATCCCATCACTTGAACCGTCCACATTTGCGACGCCCAGCGCCTCCAGCCCCGCGACAAAAGAGGTGCCCACCGTAATCAAGGCCTCCTCTTCTTGGGCAATGCCGACAGGTAGAACGGTGACACCGCCGCTGGATGTGGATGCAACCACGATGGGCCCAGGCACCCCGGCTCGAGCCAACTCGTCGACCATGCTTGGTACGTGTGTCTCCTTGGTAGATGGTGATCTTTAGACTGGACGAACGCAAACTGGGCGATTGTGGTGGTTGCCCTTTGTGTCTAGGATGGTGCCTTGTAATTGCGCGTTGGTGCTGACTATCGCAAATGTGTGTGGTTGAGTAGGCCTGGTGGATGATTCGACGCTCGAGGTTGTGATCGTGGTGGCAGCAGCCGTTGGGTTGCTGTTGCTACTGCTGGGAATCAAAACGTGCTGCTGTCGCCAACGCGGACACAGCAGTCTTGTTCACCGCCTTGAAGAGGGCGACGGGTCAGTGGAGGACGAGGTGAGCGAGCGCCACTGTGGTTGGTGTTGCTGCTGTCGCGATGACGCCAAGGGCTGGTCCGATGGCTTTGAACTGTACGCCTCCACACAGCCCGAATGGGATGACTCCTTTGACAAGGGCTCTACGCCACAATCTGACCGTTTGGCCAAGTTGCGGCACAAGATATACATGAACGCCCAGTTGCTGGCCCAGACCGATGCAGACACTTTGCACTCTGAGCAGGCCTTGGTCGTGGATGGCCAACCCTTGGCCACACGCGCATAGCGCCCGCTTTCTTGAAGAGCCCACCCCTGCCATCCAATCCTGTGCTCCATCGTTACCATACCCATAGGCGTTTTTGTCGAAGCCAACCGACTTGTTCATGTCGCCGTGCGTCTGTTCCTTTCGGGCCGCTTTCCTTGCAGTTGATTTTAACTTGATGCAACGAGCATGGAGGCTGATCAAAGCCATAAGAAACAAGGAGCGAGGTCCAGAGATCCAGAGGCGAGAGATCCAGAGGGAGAGAGCGCACCGAGGGAGAGAGCGCACCGAGGGAGCCTTGAGCTATAGTTTCAGAGAGAACTCTGAACCTAAGAGCGAGAAGGCGAACCGAAGCGCTTCAGGCAGAGTGAGTGAACCCAAACGCTTCAGGGAAAGAGGGAGAGAGAGAGAGAGGGAGAGAACCCAAGCGCTATAAGAAAAGACCTTGAAAGCTTTATTTAAGAGAGGTCAAGTTGAAAAAGCCTTCCAAGAGAGAGTGTGTGTGTGTGTGTGCGAGATTTTTTTTTATTTTTTTCCCGTTTCGACAGGTGACGGCAGAGGGGTGGGGGATCATGGCGTCGCGGCCCATGTTTGCGCTGCCTCCGGCTGCGGAGAGCCAGTTCTTGGATGATCTGAGTCGAAGGTCTATGGATGATCTCAAGGGCCTTTCGCTCGAATATCTAACTGTCATTGAGGTGAGGTGCATTTCAGCGCGATCTCGCACACGGTCGCTGGCTCCGCCATTACCCTGGGTGGTTCTTTGAATAGGCGGAGCTGGAGCAGCTGGCCAACTCGACGCATCATGAGCTGCAGAGCATTGCCGACCAACATCATCAATTTACTCAGTGCGTGCCGCTCTGCTCTGGCGCTTCACCCTGTGCTTCACCCTTCCTGGGGAGCTGCGGTCGTCTCGGCAGCCAATCATGTGATGCCTGCTCGAACAGATGGTTTCATCGCTACTTCAAGTATCAAGCTTCCGCCAAGCGCCGGTCATCCATTGCTGCCGAGCTACCAGCAGCCAAGGTCAGCTCATTCCGCTGAGCCCCCTGTGTTTTGCTCTGGCTGCATTTCGTCATCCTTTTTCACACCACACTTGCCTTGCCTCGTCCTGGCCTCAACCCTGCGCGTCTGCTGGTGACTCGGGTAGCTCAAAAAGTGCAATTTGAAGGCTTTGGTGCGTCTCGCTCTGTATCATCTGCACTGCTTGTTTTGCTTTCTTCTCCTTTCTCCACTAGAACTGCACTGCAACCTTCTGTGTGTGTGTGTGTGTGTGTGTGTGTGTGTGTGTGTGTGTGTGTGTGTGTGTGTGTGTGTGTGTGTGTGTGTGTGTGTGTGTGTGTGTGTGTGTGTGTGTGTGTGCTGCAGACAATCTTTCATGTGATCTGTGTGATGTTTGGCTGCATCGGGTCAGAATGCACAACGTCAGTCCAAGTCCAACACCGATGGGCCCCTGGGCCGCACAAGTGGCCCCCGCCGCAGCTCTCTCAGCTTAAGCACCAGCGCAGGCGGCATGACTGCCTCCGCCCAGCCAGAAGAGACAAAGTAAGAAAGTAGTGGGTGCAATAGCACGCGGGAGTGTGTCAGCATTACTCAGTTTGCATGCCCCCCTCAGACCAACTGAGGCTTTGACTCAGGCCGGCCAAGAATTCTGGAACGTGGTCGAACAATATATGCGAGGTACGCCACCTGTCTTTGGTCATGGGCCACACAGGCTACCGCTCCGCTGGCCTCGGCTTCCGTTTCAGAGAGCACACCCTCTCCACCCATCGCATCTACAGCTCCCTCGGACGACGAAATGCGTGCTCTCGCCGCCTGGCCGGCTGAACTGGCCAGTCACCGTCAAAGCTTCATGTGCGTCATGTTCTTCCATGCCCTATCATCGTTGCTTGCGCTCTGAACCTGACCCACCTCCTCCCATGGTGTAGGCAAATACCTCCCCTGGGGCGGCCCCTAACTGAGACCAAGCAAGAGCAAGACTTTCTCAAGGGCGTGAGCCCAGACAGCGAGGAGCAGCTGGTCCATAGCAGGAAAAGTGCACCTTCGGACGCTGAGGCTCGGCTCTTGGGCGTAAGTCAAGCGAACAGATCAAAAACACTAGCCCGGGCCCATCACACGTATCCCACCTCTCATGTGGTTTCGCTGCCGCGTCTGATAGGCCCTACTGCCAGCACCGGCTGGGTCTTCTGAAGCGTTGAGTGCTTTGCTGACCCACCATCGAATGGGACAGCACCCGGCAGAGGTGCGCCTCGTTTTGTGCTTCAAGTCGATGTGGAGGCACAGCACGCCTCACAATCTGCCATCCTATGTCGGAATGACACAGGCTGCCGTTACGGCCAAGGCAGAAAAAGCCGACGCTTCAGAAGAAGATAATTACGTTCTCACCAACCTCAAAAGTGTCCAAGCCTTGTTGACCAAGGAGGAGCAACACCTGAGCGATCTCCTTGAGCGTCTCTATCACCGCGCCTGCGCGTCGCACGTGGACGTTCAGCGACAGGTCTGTCAGAATTGCTGGTCTTCTTCTTTCATTTATTTCTGCCAAGATTCCTGTCCCAGGCTCACTGCACTTTAATCAGCGCGAGGCGTTGGATCGCAGCGAATTGGACGCCCAGAAGCAGGTTTATCAGCTGTTTCAAAAATGCCTTGAGTTTCAAAGGCAGAACAAGGTTTGGCCCAACTTCGTGTTTGAATTGCGAGCCACTGCCAAACAACTCAGTCCGATCTCACTCCTGGGTAATGGCGTGACCTTGTCTTTGCTTGGCTTGAAATGGTCTGCAGCGCTTGCCACAACACTTTGAAAGCCAAGTCTCGCAGGTTTTATTAGACTTGACCCGATTCAATGGGTACTCCTCCATTTTGACAGACAATGCCACCCCACCCGCTGCGGTAAGCTTCCACCTACCCGTTGGATAGGTCAAGCCAGACTCGATATGACCTTCCATTGGATTGTCATAGCGTTTGGTGAAGCAGTTTGGTTCCCCAAGTTGTGGTGATCGGGATCGGTTGTAACTCGGGTCTTTTGCCCCACGCCACGGTTGTAGGGGGACAGCTTCCCCGTCCTGGAGTCTCCCAAGCCCGCCGAAAAGCCAAAGCGCAAACGCAAGAAAAAGGACACACCTGCATAATGAATACTCTCACTCGTCTGTCTCCCTTTCTTTCGTTCCTCCTTTCCTCATGCACGCACTTTTGCACTTGAAAACTTTTTTTTTTTCCGCGCTTCCATTGGTCATCTAGCTCAATTTAAACCTCCCACCCGTATATACTCACAGCAGATGCAACCGGCCAGCATTCCGAACAAAGATCACGGAACACCAAGACAGAGGGAGTGGAAAAATTCAAGGCACCGCTCACATACACACGTGAAACATACTTCGGGTGTTCTCTCTTTCCTTTTTTTTTTTTTTTTTTTAACATTCGGATCGTGTGTTAAAAACGAACCGACGCCAAGTCGGGACGCACCTTGCCACAGACGTCGCAATAAAACAGCGAGTTGGGGTTAAAGAAGGTGCAAGTCAGGCAAGTCCACTTGTTGCTGGGACAGGTACGCTCACCAGTCCAACCGAGCTCACACATGGCACACGAGCGCTCAGTCATGGGATTGACAAAGGTACAATTTTGGCACAACCAAACCTCATCCTCAGAACTCTCAGTCTCCATGGACTCAGCCTCGGGTTCGCGAGTGAAAAAGTGCTCGCGCAGCTCAGTCTCGCTCAACATTTCAGCATCTGGGCGCACCACCAATGCCACCAGCTCTGCCAAATCTCGTGGGGAAAAGCCCAGCTGCAGGCTCTCGAGACACCGCTGCAGATCAGCGCGTGGGAGTGCTGCGCCGCTCTCAGCTCGTTGCGCGTGACGACGGAATGCTGCCAGCAAATCAATGGCGGGGCGAGCACGCAGGGAGGTATTGAGCTGCTCCAACTTGGCACGCGCATCCAATAGATGCCATTGCGCTTCCTCAGTCAAGACCTTGGCCAAGGGTGTGTCCGCCCATCGATTGCGTTCGCGCCGGCGCAGCCGCTGACACTCCTCAAAGAACTTGACACGCGACGGCACTGGATTGGACGAAAGTGCGGTCAGGAGTAGTTGCAAGGCCTCGGCATCAAAGAACATTTCGTTGTTGATAAAGCGCAGGCAGGCCAGGCTAACGGCGCGGTTGTGCGCGGCTTCAGCTGCACCATCCGGCGCAAGATGACGCAGGAGGTGACTGGCGTCCAACATGACACCATCAATCGTGTACAGTCTCACGCCACAGGCCCGAAACACTTCTTGGCGCGAGTGTATGGCGCGACGCAGCGTCTCACCTTCAGCCAGACTCAGCGCCACCTGGTAGACGGGGGACTCGCTGCTCTGGGTTTGTAATGCAGCAGGTGTGGCATTGACTGAGGCTGTGGCCTCTTGCAAGGCCCGGGCAGCAGCAACGTTTGGCGCTACGCCTTGGGCCAGAAGCGCTTGAAAACATAGACCCACCTGGCGACGCAAAACATCACGCGCCAGACTGGGGTGCCACTCCATAATCAAGGCCACGTTTTTCAGTCGGCGATCCCCGACACCGACCCAGCGTGGGCGGAAAAAGTTGTCTGTTAGCAGCAAATTGGGCGGAAAGGCCAACCGTGGTTGCTCCTCACGAACATGAAAGTCGTGAAAGGGATAAAAAGGCTCTTCGCCGCCCAGCTTGAGGCCCGGCACGTGGGCCAAAAGGCTCAAGCGCCAGGGGTTGTGCTGTTCATCGTCACGATTAAAGGCGGACATCTTTTCTTGCTCTTGCTCAGCCTCCTCTTCGGCTTCCTCCTCAGCCTGAGCCTCGGCCTCATGTACGCACTCGCTGTCCAGACCACCCTCTGCCTGAGTCACAAATGTGTTGCCAATTTGTTCAACCTTGTTGATGATCCGGTCAATCAAGGCGGCCTCTGCCTCGCTTGGTGCAAATTCAGCTTGCTCCGCCTTGAGGGCGCGCAGGCGGGACGAGAAAGACTCGGGTTCAGCGATGGTATCAGATATGGGCACGCCGATGCGCTCGCGAAACTGATCTACACACCGGCGCCGCCATTCGACCTCCACCGAGTGACCCACAAAACGGCGCATTCGAGCAGCGCCGGGTGCGGGCCGCACGTCTGGATCGACGGCTGGGGCAGTGTCTGCGTTGCCGTTTGGTAGTTGTTGGACAAGGGCAGCGCGGCACTCGTCCGTCAGAGCTTGCAACGCGCGCTTGCGCCACACATTGCCCATTTCCTGCATACCCAGCTTGCAGTATTGTAGGGATGTCATCTTCATCGAGTTGATCAGCAGCCAGGCCGGCACATCCAAGCGATGCGCCTGTGTGGCGTGCGCGCCCAGTTCCTGTCGCACCAATTGCAAGACCTCCTCAATGATGTACAAGCAAATGGTTTGTCCCTTACCGATTCCTCGCACTAGAGTACAAGGACAAATCACAAGGCAGGAGGTGTCAGTTTTGGAAGCACGGTCAAAAGGAGCGTTAAACGGAGATGAAAAGAAGAAAAAAAAAAAAAAAAAAAAAAAAAAAAAAAAAAGAGAGAGAGAGAGAAACAGTGTTGGAGCGCGGAGGGAGAGAGAGGAAAGGAGAGGAAAAGTGTGAAACATGAGGGGAGGGGCATAATTTTTACGTACTGCGAAAGGCGCCTTGGGCATAGTCGCGCCACGTCATGTCCTTGCCAATCGTGACAACGGCGCGGGCGTTGGGAAATTGCTTAATATCCATGCCCGTCGTGTGCACCTGATCAAAAAGGGTGAAGCGTTGGCCTGGTTCCAAGCCACACTGTGCAAGCGGCATGCTGCGACCCGAGGCACGCAGCAGAATCATCTGTCGGTCTTCAGAATCAAGGTACACAACGCCTTGGAAGGGAGTGGGAGGTAGGTGCTGCAGAAGAAAATGTGCAGCACTTTCGTTGCTCATGCCGGTGATAAGCGCACCCGTGTCAATGAGGGCATGGTAGAGCCCACTCGCAGCCACATCGCGCAGCAGTGACTTTGGGGTCCAATCGCTTTTAATTTCAGCGCTGGTAACGTGAGGTGTCGTCAAAACATGCATCACCTTGCCATCCGAACCTGGTTCGTACTCGCATCGCCCCAAATCTTGCGGCATGAGGTTATTGGGCGTGCCGCTAAAACCCAACCGGGCTCGGCCAAACAGGATGGAGCTGCCCAAATCCACACCTGAGGCTGAAAGCTTGATTGCTTGTGATCGCATGCAGCTAGGAAACACGTGTTGTCGCAGGTAGTAGAAGATGGGATGTGGGAGGTGCCGCAGCAACTGCTGCAGCTCGCCCATTTGCCCACCGTCGCTGGGTTGGAACAGTGGCAGCGGCAGGATCACCTTGAAGCGCTCCATCACGTCCTGGTCGTTGTTGATGGCAGCGCCTTCCGTAATGTCGTCGTCCTTGGCATCCAAGGCAGGCCGAAGCCAACTGGCACGCCAAGGTTCGTGTGCCGACGCGTCCAAGAAGCCCTGGAACACGACGCTGGCCGGTCGCTGCTCGCGTGGGCCCACCTGGCGGCTGAGGTCCTGCTTCAGCTGCACCACCATGCGTTTGAGATCCGAAGCCCGCAACCCCTCGTAGCGGTACGCCATGATTGTGAGGCCAATAAGAACGTCCGGATGCGCAAACTCAGATGAGCGCGACGGCACATCCTTACCCACAAAGGGCACGGCCATGAGGCGTCGGCTTTGGGGTGTCCGGGGATCCAGCCGCGCCAAATCGCTCGGCGTCAGCAAACCATAGCCCACGCGGTTGATCTTGGCCAAAACGTGGGGCAGGAGGGTACGAATCCATTCCGAAGCCAGGTTCAAGAGGCGCAAGGCCTCCCCACTGAGTGCCCCGCCCACCACGGTGAGAACAGCTGCCTCTGCCTTGGAACCGCGCTCCAGATAGGCCAACAGCGCGGGCAAGGGTAGGGGCAGCTGATCAAAATCCCACGCGTGAAGAAGCCAGACTACAGCCCAGCGGGCTGCCCAGGGACGGATGTGCTCTGCATAGTAGGCAGAAGATAGCAACACCACGTGTGGCTCCTGCTGAAGGTGGCCCGAGTGGATGCCTTGCTCGACTGCCGCGTCCAAATGGGCCAGAATATCGGGCACAGGGTCCAACGCTGGGCACTTCTGCGCTACGGAGCGGGCATCGGGATAATCTGTCAGACGCTGGTCGGTCCGATGGAAAAAGGCATCGAGAAGGTGCAAAGCAAGTTCCCATCGAAACGAGGGCATGAGCTCAGACGCGCCAATGGGGAAATTAAGCTCGCTCTTGAGCGGGTTGAGAATGACATCGACCTCGTCCATGATGAGCACGCCGTGCACGCGGAGGATTTCAAGCAGGCTTGCCACGCGATCAGCAATGTCGCTGCGATTGGCCAGTTGGTCGCGCAGCCGCTCTACTTCACGATTGTTGCGCAAACTCTGGTTGGGCGTGAGCATGTCCATGTCACAGCGCTCCAGACACTCAAGCTCCTCAACAAACTTAAGCATGAGACTCTTCATGACCTCGGGCGACGCGCACACAATGTCCCGCCGCCGAAGAGCCGACAGGATCTTGGCGTGTAGCTCACCGATGCGCTCCACATCCTCAATGTTGCGATCAAAGTTGAGGGTGTACACGCGCTTGACTACCACGGCACCAAAGCGCGCACGCAACACGTTGCGCGTTTGCTCTAGCAGCGCGGTGGGCATGACATGTACAACTAGCGCTTCGGGGCTGGAGAGGATGAGCGTCAACAGGGGTGCGATAACCCAGGTCTTGCCGGAGCCCATGATGGCTTGCTGTACCTTGGAGGTGCCCGCACGTGCAGCCGAGGCCATGTCGCCCACAATCTCCACCTGTCGCGCGCGCAACAATATTTCAAACATGTACTCGGCGAGCAAAAAGCGGGGGTCAAACGTGACCAGACCACCATTGGCGCTTGAAGCCTGTAGGTCGGCATCGGTGGCGAGACGCATGTAGTGTCGACGCATGCAGAGGTTCTCTGCGAGCGCAGTTTGCGCTTGCGCCACGGACCGCTGCAGCGCGGTGGTAGCGTCATCCTTGTCTTCGCTCCCATCGGCGCTGGCGCCGTCGCAGTGCAGGGCCAGCCGCTGCAAAAGTGCAAGCAGCGCCATGCATTCATGCACGACACGTGCAGCCTGCGCAGCCCGCGATACGAGCAGCATGTACACGGCACCAAGAGCCACGATCCCCTCCGTATCAGTCACGAAGGGGTTGCCTACACGCAGATCGTGCTCAGCTTGGGCCGATACAACGCAAGACAATGCGAAGGCCGGCGTCACGCGCGGGCGAACGTTGATAAACTGTTCCATGCCAAAGAGCAAGGGCTCCTCGCCACTCGCACTGCCCGTCGCCGTGATTCGCTCCTCAAGTTCAGCGTGCAGTTGCACGGCCGTGGCGACATCTCGGCCATGCGCACCGCGAAGCAGCCGCACCAGCTCATGCAACCGAGCTTGAGCAGCGGCGAGAGCTTTGGGATTCCGATAATCCGCATCTGATTCGAGGAAGCCAGCCAAGTATTGCTCGCGCCGCGCATTGTATGTGTGGGCGTAGGTGGCAATGTCGTTGCGGAGTCGCTCAATCATCTCGCGCGACACGGTCGAAGCGGCGGTGGGGTGCTGGGAAATGTCAAACTGCAGATCAACTGCTGCGCGGTCCGCCGTGTTGGAAGGGGCCCGTTCCGCAGCAAACTCATGCGCATTCACGGCAGCCAAAGGACGGGTAGCAAAGGCCGCCAACTCCGGTGCGGAAAGATCATAGCCATTGGGCTTGGCAGCATCAGGGGCGGCAGGGTCGGCGTGGCTATCAGAGTCGCCCAAGAGATCGGCCAGCAGGTCATCGCCGGAGGTAGCTCGTGAGGGCCCGGAAAAGGTCACGGGCCTCAGGGTCAATTCTTCGCGACTTGTGTCCGAGGTCAGGAGGGGAAGCGCAGTTGATGCATAAGGGTGTGGCTGGGCTTTCTGATCCCGAGCCAGGCCCAGGTTGCGTACAGCACCAAAGACGTCGCTTTGCATGGTCATAAGAGATAGCCGCGTGGGCGAAGTCATGTGGCTTCGGTAGACCATATCAAGCTCATCCATGAATGCCTTGACTGCCGTATCTCGCTGCTGTGGGGAGTAGAGGTCCACACCGACTTGCAGGAGGCGTTGACTGTGATCGTCACGACAGGGTAGGGGCCAGGTCTGTCCACTCATCTCAGAGAGGATGCTGGCCAGCATCACCATGCGCGAGCTGGGGGTAGCCTCAATCTCGCCGGCATCGGCAGCTTCTTTGCCCCAACGCGCCAATTTGCAGGCGAATAGACGGGTCAAAAGCTCTGCATAGGCGTGGTGGGCAGCCTCGTCGAAACCCTCAACCTGGCAGGCCTTGGTGGCTAGACAGTAAAGAAACCAAAAGCCTAGTTGGCGGTTGCTTCCCGACTCCTCGTCAGCAACCAGCCGGTCCTCCCACATGATGGCCAGTGCGTCCTTGGTCGACAAGCGTCCGTCGCCCCTGCCGGGGAGCTGGCATTGAACGCGTGTGAGCCGAGTTCCCGATCTTGTCAAGTAGTCGAGCGTGTACGTGTTGAGCTTGGCCCAGGGTTGACCACCCACACGCAGCTTCAGGGCTCGCAGCTCGACCTGCTCGGGCTTTACTGGTGCGCAGCGGGTATTTTCCACGCCAAAGTGCAGAGCACCGGTGTGGCGACCGAGCAACTCTTGAACGTAGGCCAGGTGGTTCTTCAAAACCGGAGTCATCTTTTGGCAAATGGTCAAGGCATCCAGCTCCTCTTCCGCTGTGAGTCGCAAGGCGGCGGGGCAGCCTGAGCGAACGAGCAGGTATTGCTCCAGTTCGTCGTGGATGGGGGAGGGAAGCGGGTTGTCCGAGTACATGATGGCGAGGTACAGTTTGAGCCGGCAGGCCAGGGCACCGGGATGGCGATCTGGTACGGTGCGCTCAAACTGATCAAAGATGTGGCTCTCCTCGGCCGTCAAGTCGGTGTCCGTGCTGACGGCCTGCAGGAGCTCGTGGGCGGCCACATAATCACGGGCCAGAAGGCGCACGAGAGCCAGGTACAAGGAGGCCGCCATCGTTGTGGGTCGTAGATACGTCTAAAAATCAAAATCAAAAGTGAGGGAAAAAAACAAAAAAACAAAAAAACAAAAAAAAAAAAAAAAAAAAAAAAACACGACACAGACGAGGGGCAAGCCAGATAGGCCGTGCAAGGTAGGGAAGCAATAGATGCGATGCGGGGCAAGCAAAAGGAAAGAGAGGAAATGCATGCTATGCATGCGCCATTCGATGACGTACTAGGCTACCGTGAACCGGGTAAAGGAAAAACTTGGCGCTCATGGCAGTGAGCCAGCGCTCCGAGCCGCGATCGAAGAGGAGTTCCTCCGAGAGCGGCAAATCTTGGACTGGGGGGCGATAGACGTCATGATTGGGAAGCAGCACCATGTATGCCCCACTGGCGTTTTCGAGGAGCAGGCCTTGGTGAAGCGTCTCACACAGCGCTCGCAGTTGCTCTCGACCCGGTACCGCTTCATCGTGCAGCGCATCACTGATGTACCATCCCCCCTGGTCGAGAACGGCTAGTCGACGCACTCCATCGATGCACATTTCTGGCTTGAAGCGCAGCTGCAGCACGTTCAAAGCATCACAATGGGGTCAAAAAAAAGAAGAAAAAAAAAACACGTTCAAAGCATCACAATGGGGTCAAAAAACCAAAAAACCAAAAAAAATAAAAAATAAAAATAAAATGAAGACACACAACAATTCTGTCTGAGCGCATGGCGCAGACATACGTTCAGAGCAACCACCGCCACATACCTTGAGACGAGGAAGCTCAATGCAATCAATCTCGGTCAGCTGGCTTAAATGTGCATCGGTCAAACTACCATGGCTCTGTGTCGGGCCGTGTCCCCAAACCAAGACGTGCGAGAGGTCCTCAATGCGGGCCAGCACCGATGCTAGTCGATGTAGGGCCGTGCCTGGAGCTGCGCTCAGCAAATTGAGAAGCAGCAAATCAGCTTCCGAGGCAATGGGAACGGGCTCGAGGCTTGCCGCTGGGGTGTCGTCCATGGGCTCGGGTGCGCCCGAGGCTGCTTGAGCCTCAGCCTGAGCAATAGTTGCGGCGTTGGCGTCATCTGTGATCCACGCCAAGGCGGTCTCTGGTTCTGGGCAATGCCGCAGTGCCGCACGAGCGGCAGCTTCGCTAAAGCCCATTGATAGGATGATGGCCACGTGTTCTTCATTTACGGAGGCGCCCTCGCGACCGTCTGCTCCGCGTTGCCCTTGACCGCCACGTGCTTCTTCGGCGGCGGCGGCCGAAATGGCTGCCATGTTGGCTGGGTCAAAGAGCCATGAGGCGGCGCGAGTCGTGTTGAAGGCCGTGTTTCGCAAGGCCAGCTTTGCAGTTGCGGTAGAAAAGCCCAGCTGTGTGAGCTGTTCCACGCTGGCGGCGTCAAAACTGACTTCGGCCTCCGCTGGCTGGGAGCTGGAGGTTTGGCGCACGAGCATGTTTGCCTCAAGCGCGTCCTCACGTGGCCGTTGGTTAGTGGGCACGTGCGTCAGCGGCTGGCGCCGCACGTGCACGGTGCGCCCTTGGTCGTTTAGCTGGACCAGCACGTTGTAGGCGCCCCAAGACGAGTCGGCATCCAGAGGCTCACCGCGGATCAAGCCATCTTCGCCCTGCCAGAAACGGTGGCTCTCAAAAAGGACAGCCGGGAGGAGCCCGGCCAAGAGACGCGTGGGAAGATAAGTTTCATGCCCGCCAATGCGCAGGTTGCGGCGGAGCAGAAGCAGCGATGCCTCATCCAGCCGCTTGATTGCAAAATTACCAGCCTGATGCAGCAGCGGCTGAGGTTGTGGTGCGGCATCTGGGTTGAGGCGCAGCGCCAAGGGCTGCAGAGCAAAGCGGTGATCACTGCTGTACACCTGCACGCGAAACAGCCGACGGCCGTGGCTGGTGAGGTTGAAAACGGACACGAGGCCGCGATGGCGGTCTACAACCACCTCCTTCCAGGTGGCGTCCTTTTCCGTGTGGGCCACACAACCCAGGAGTCGAACTTCCGTGGCCTCGGCATCAGCAGGTGTTTCGGGCAGCAGGAGTTTGTACTTCATTTTCCGATCGGGTGGGAAGGCGGGGTAAAAGAAGAGAACCACGGGACGCAAAGCGCTCGCTACCCAAGCTTCGGTCGCGGGTAACCCGCAGTGGAGCTCTTCGCTGTATGGATCAAAATGTCGAGTGTACTTGGTGCTAAGGTATAGCGCCGCATCGGCAAACTCAATGCCCACCTGATCCGAGGCCTCGGCGCGCCGAGTGAAGCGGTGAGCGAGGTCAAAATCGGCAGGAAGGTCACCCTCGTTCGCCCCACTAAAGAGCCAGTTGGCAGCTGCCTCGGCGTTGTCCTGGTGCAAGCGCAGTGCCCGCACACACTGGGCGTAATCAAAGCCGAGCATAACTAGCTCGTGAGCAGCCTGCTGCCGTTCAGGTGGCACGTCAGCCGTGGCCGACGCACCGTTGTCGCCGGGACCCTCGAGGGGCGGTGCCGTGGGACACCCGACACCCTGATCCACAGCCGAGGGCTCGTCCCACTCGATGACGTCATATTCAGTGCCCACAAGATGAATCCAGCGTCGGTGCTTTTGGTGCGCCACCACGCCGCAATGTAGGGCCCGGCCGTGAAAAAAGGCTTGGTAGTCGTTCATCTGGGCGATGCTGTCCGGCACAGGCTTGAGCTGGTCATTGCGCCAAAGCACCTCGCCCGTCTGAAAGTCCACGAGCAGCTCGGAGCGGGGCGCTGTGTAGCGACCCGCATCCTGCTGCTCCCACTCGCTCTCTCCAAAATCTTCGGAGCGCAGGGCCACCCGCAGAACCGCAGTCATAAAGCTGGGTAGCTGGCCCTGGTCAAAGAGACCCTGTACAACCTTACAGAGCTGGCGGCGCTGGCGGTGTTGCATTTGAATCAGTTTGTGCTCGGGGACATCGGCTGGAGGCAGGCGCTGGTGGCCCTGAGTCTCGTCGGCCAGAGTCGGGGCGCGCACCGTGACGCCGCCGAGGTTCAGGAACAGGGGCTTGCCCTTGATGTATTTGTTGAGATCGTCTTCCTTCACGCGCGAGGTGTTCAAGCCGTAGGCCTGGAGAAAGCGGCGCAGCCGGTCCTGGGGTCGCAGACCCTCAGCTTCCTCCACGTGCATCTGGCTGACTTGCATGCCCAGGCCAAAGCCGTGCCAGTTGCGAACATAAAGATAGGCGGCGAGGGCATCTTGAACCTCGGTCAACGGTAGGGTGGCCAGGTCTTGGTTACCGTAGCATAGGGCGCGATACGCCAAAGCCACACAACACGTGTTGACGTCGCCTGCCTTTTGCGCTTCGGTCCACCATCGTGTCAACATGGGCAAGATATCGTTGCGCAAGTGCGCCCGAAATTGCGCCAGGTAAGCCTCGAGGGTCGGACGCAGCTCGACACCGTTTGAGGTGACGGCAGGCGCACTGTCGTCCGCCAGCACGTAGACGATGTAGGCCTCTGTGTCCAAGGCCATGTCCAGCAGGTAGAGGAGAAAGGTTGCGTCACGAGTATATACGGAGGATTGGCGCAGCGCGGCTGTGGCCTTGAAAATGCCCAGCATGGAGTCCAAGCAGGCACCGGGGCAGTGAATGAGCTCGTTGTAGAGCAGGCCAAATGGGGTGCCCAGTCGCTGCTGCTGCAGGGTTTGGCGTCCGTTGAGGCGGTCGCGTGCCTCTTGCTCGCGGCGCTGCCGATCGGTCATGCGCACCGGAACCTCTGCAATGGGGCGGTCATCCTGTTGATGAACCCAGAGCCCACCTTCAAAGAGGACGGCGCGCAATAGGGCTTGCAGACTGGGGTTAAAGAGGTAGGTCACGCGGTCACGGGTGGCAAAAAAGCCGAGGACCATGGGGACGCGCACATAGTCCACGGTCAGATAGGACATGAGCATTTCCGATTCCTCACGGCTGATGGCATTGTTAAAGGTGGGCAATCCAGTGGCGTGCAAAACATCCTCTTCGCTGGGACCTTCAATGCCCAAAAAACGGCTCACATCTGCAGGACTGCGTTCAGGACAAGTTCAAACCAGAGATGATCAAGCGGCCATGATGCCAACAAGAACAAAAAAAAAAAGGTCAACGAGTCATGGTAAGCAGAGCGTCGTGGGCAGCAGAAGGTGTCAACAAGGACATCATGAATGCGAAAATGGAACACGTACCTTTGCACAGCAGCACCCTGGCCGAAGCGAACAGCGCGCTCACCAAAACCAACCACCTCAAGGTCAGCCGTGTCCAAATCCATGCCCCTAAAGCCCACAGCCTCCCAGCGGAGTGGAGTGCCACGCAGACTGCCCCACCAGCCCCGGCGTCCACTTTCCTCAAAGCTGAGTGACCACCAGGCAAAAGGTGACTTGTCCTTGCGCCCACGCATGAGTTCCATCTCACGAGTCTCCATGGTTGCCAGAAACTACAAAGGGAAGTGAAGGTGTAGGCAGCGAGCGGATGCGGGGCAATGAGAAGGGGAAAACGGCAGTGCGGGCTGACGGTGCACCGGAAAACGCGGCAGACCAGGCCCCGGTGCCAAGTTGTTGGGTTGGTACCAGACGAACACGCGGGGGCGACCAGAAGGGCAATTCGCGCATACCTTGAAGAGAACGACCATGTCACGTGTCATGCCCCATTCCGGATGATCCTTTGCCAAAGTGGTATTCTCACCAATCATCCATTCAACCAGGGCCTCGATCTCGGGTGGAGGGTTGGGATTGTTGGGATCAATCAGGGGGTAACCAAGTCGCTCCAACATACCACGGAGGAACAGGAGCGTGGCGCCATACTTTTTGACCTCAATCTTCTCCGGCTGTCGAAGCTGAAAGAGTGGGTGCTGGTGGGTGGCCTCAGCGTGGGCCAGGTACGCGAGCATGCCATCTCGTGCCCGCACGTGGTGTGGGGTGCTGAGCTGTAGGCGGGTTGCTACTTCGGCAAAGGGACGATTGTCCTGGCAGACGGTGGTCGAAAGCTTGTAGCTCGGCTGCTCCCCAATGAGCACCGAAACAACCAGCGGGGCATCCACAGCCACTTGGCGAAGGACGGCGTCGTAAACCACCAGCATACAGCCAGCCACGAGGGAACACTCGCAGGCGCTTTCGCGGGTGGGATGGTCCACAGCCTGCCACATTTGACCATAGGTCAAGGCAAGGCGATAAATGCCCTCAAGAATTCCCATTTGCAGTTCGCGATCCACGGATTGTTGCCAAATGTCGACGCTGGCCGCCTCGTCATGCGGGCCCTCCGATGACGGGGTGGGGGGCAGGGGCAGGGGCAAACGTTTGGTGAAAAGCTCGCCAATAAGGGCAATAACCTGGTACTGCAACACCAAGCGAGAGCTGGTGCTACTGTCCTGGGCTCGGTCGAGCAGCAAGTAACAGAGGCGCTTGGTTTCGTCAATGAGCGCAAAGCCCTCGGCCACGGTAGTAACGCGTGTCGGAAGCCGCAGCATGTCCACGGGCTGGGGTGGCGTGGGTCGACGGAGGGCACCGGCATACTTGGCCGTCCGTTCCTCAAGAACAAGCAGGTCACCGCGTGGCAGTGCATGGACGGGATATTGTGCCGCGGGCGCAACGGCGTCCTGTAGGGCCAGGCGCTCGTGGCTGTCTGAGATGAAGCGATGACCACCTGGCAGCTCGTGCACGAGCCCAGCCACGCGGTCTGTGTGGGTTTGTAGTGCGCGCAGTCCGGCCACATCGAGGCGACCAGCCCGGTGTTCACGAATGCCACGCCGCACAGCGGCTTCACAGGCCCAGCGAATGACCTTGGCGGCATGCGAGGGCAAGGGCTGGGGCCCCTGTTGGGCCCTGTGCTCGGCCAGGGCCAATGGGGACCAGGGAAAGGCTTGCGCATCGGGATCACTTTGAACATTTTGGACGGCGTTAAGGTTATACACATGGCCCTCGGGGCCCAGAACAACAAGGCTTGGCAGCGCGCGAAGACCCAGTGCCTGCATGAGCTCTTGGCGTGCCTCGCCCGCGGCAAAGTCGACGGCAAGCCAGGAGGATGGCATGCGCTGGCGATAGGTGGTAAACTGGTCGGGACTGCGATCATTGGAGAGGTAGACTACGTGGGCGTTCACGCCACGGCGCTGGAGGGCATTGTGAACGGCGATGAGCTTGGGCAGGAAGCGATTGCAAGGCTCACACCACTCGGCCCCAGCATACAGCAGCAAGTGTTGTTGGCGGAGCGTGGCGCTGGGCACGCGCTCGAGGCTGGCCGTCATGACCGGCGTGCTGTTGTACAGTTTGGACATGAGCGGATCGGGCAGACGGCCAGGCCCATCGCGAGGAGGCGCCTCGCCCAGCCCCCAGGCCAGACCATCGTCAAGAGCCTCAACGGGGTCAGCCAACACTCGCAAATCCTCGTGCACCTTCTGCATGGTGTCCCGGCTGAGAGCGTACTGAAGTTGGGCCAGTTGATCTGAAGACAATCCGCGACGAGCGAGGAGGTACCGGGTGGCTTCAATGACGCAATGGTAATGCGGGGTATCGCCACGCGATGGGGTGCGAAAGCGAGCAGCCGGATCGTCGCGTGTCTCAGCCCAAGCTTGCGGCAGCAGCTGGCCCGCGAGAAAAGGCAAGATGACGTCGTACAAGGCTTCCTGCCGATGGTGTTCCGACTCTTGCAGCGTCTGGGTGTAGATGAGCGACCAAAGCGGGACGGAAAGAAGGCGGACAGCAGGAATGTTCTCCATGCGCGCGGCCAGTCGAAACTTCATCTTGTTGGAGCGAGCGGCTTCGGCAGGGTGATAGCTGAGGCCAGAGCCGGCGTTGCAGACGACCACGGCAAAGCTACCCGCGGCTGTCTTTTCCAACAGCAGTAAGAGGAAGTTGGAGCCGTTCGGGGACTGCCAACCAGCTGGTACAACGCTCCAGCCACCGACGGGCAGTTGCTCGAGGCGCTGGCAGGTCTCCTCGACTAGACGCTGCAGGTCATCCGTGTTCTGGGGCTGAGCGCTGGCCACCTCTTGTGCAGTGGCAAAGAGCTCTTCAAGCTGGGCCAGGACATCGAGTGCTGGCTGATCAAAGGTTGAGAGCAATGGGTGCCGGCGGTCGGCGCTCTGACCAACTACCTTGGCCAGGCGCCGAATTTGGTGGCGCGTGTAGCCCAGGGCATTGGCAATGTGGCCAGCAGCAAGGGGCGTGCTGGCCACAAAGCGGTCGCCTACCTGGGCCACGACGGGGTCGAGCAGCCTAAAGGTGGGCCGACAACGAGCCATGTGAGACGGATAACCGTGGTGCTCGCAAAAGGTGTGCGAGATGTAGGCAAGGTGGGTTGGCTGGCCAGGTGGCAAACGCACCAGGCTGGTTTGTTGTTGGCCATGCTGGTGTTTCAACCGCAGGTTTGGCACACAAAGTGGTGCGTGGCAGCAGCGCCGACCCGAGTCTGTGCTGGACGGCGTAGGGAAAAGACAGAACCAGAAAAAACAAACAAACAAAAAAAAAAAAAATAAAGAGAGAGACCTCCAAGTGAAAGCGTGAGAGAGATGCCCGAGTCCGTGGCCGGAAATGCAGAAATGCAGAAGAAGCCCTGTATGCAGAGTTGGGGCAAAGCGGCTTGTTCAAGAGACCGCGCAGAAGAGAACCGGAGTGCTGAAATGTGACCGAGGTCGGGGGGAGGGGAGGGGCGGTTGTTCACAACCAAGAGCCAGAGCAAGCAGCAAGGTGAGATGTTCTTGATGGGACGTTAGCCAAGCAACGACTACGGCAGGGGCGCCCGCAGCAACAGCCCTTCCATCAAACCCACCGCTTCCGTGTCTCAACAACTTGCTGTGCGCACAGTGAATGGCAGGCGCTCTCCGTCAAAGGGTGACATGTAAATGACACGGGCACATACAAGCACCTCACGTCGTCGCGGTCAGTGTCAGTGACAATCGAAGCCAGACAGAGAGAGAGAGAGAGAAGGAACAACAACGCAAAACAACGTTCTTTCAATGTTCGCCTAGTAACTTGTTAAGCCCTTGGGAGCTGCACAAACTGGGTCAACTTTGGGTGATGACTCTTGTGTGTGTGTGTGTGTGTGTGTGTGTGTGTGTGCCCAAAGTTGGCACTCGTTTGTGTCAAATGTATTTTACTTCATGCCCTGGCTTTAGGGGTCAACTTTTAGTATTATACTTGTTGAGATTGACGTAATCGGTGCGGACATGATGAAAGGGTGGGTGCTTGCACACGACCACCTTGGGGTGATGTGATAGCACTGAGCGTCCTTCACCTCTCAGTGGCGCTGGAGTCAGTGGGCTGTCGGGCGTGCGTCGTCTGGGCGGCATTCTCCTGCTGCCAGCTTTTGAGTGATCAGACACGAGAGAGCACCGAGGCTTTTGCTTCACGATTTGACGCTGCTGCTGCGCTTCTGTATTCATCCGTGACCACGCAACTCGATCCAGCAAGGACCGCCGCAAGAATGGCCGCCACGCGTGACATTGTAGTGGGCGTCGATGGCTCCCAGTATGGTGACGCTGCCATCGACTTTGCCGTCAAGAACCTGGTTCATGGGGCCAACGAGCGCTTGCACCTGGTCTTTGCCTATACCCCACTCGACTCGTATGTTGACCTCGACGACATGGGCCTCATCTATGCCCCCAGCCAAGCCGACAAGGTCTGCCTTTGCCTGAACCATTTGCCTGAACCATTTGCGCGCCAACCTTCTCACAACAACAACAACAACAACAACAACAACAACAACAACAACGACAACAACAACCAAGCTTTGTTGTCTTGGCTGTGCATATGCTCATCTCTCTCTGGCCCTCGTGCGCTCACCCACTACAGGACAAGGCCATTGAGCAGGCCCGGGATATTCTGACGCGAGCCACCAAGCGCTGCCTCGGCGATACTCCCGAGTAAGTTGAGATGAGGAGCGCCCCCCCTGCTCTTGACCGTTGTCCTGGCGCAGCCGAAGCCCTCTTTGTGTCATCATGATAATGCCATGTTTCTGCATCGACTTGCTCTGACAGGATCCAGGTGGAAACCCACATTATTGCTGGGGACGCCCGTGTGGCCATTGGCGAGCTAGCTGAGAAGCTGCATGCCACAGCCGTGGTCGTGGGCTGCCACGGGCGCGCTGCCCTGGCTCGCGCCGTGCTGGGCTCAACCTCGACCTGGCTCAGCCACCATTGCTCCCGTCCCGTTGTCATTGTCCGCCCAGAGGAGGAGCAAGCAGCCGAGTCGGGCGCGGACAAGTCATCCTAGACACCCATCCCCTCCCTCCCTGGTCTTGTGCCCATGTGTTGTCTTGTCCATCTTCCCAAGGCCACGCCAAGCGTGTCCAGAGCGTGTCCAGCGTCACCTATGAAAATTGAGCTTGCTCTTGTACGCCCATCATGGCCGTCGCATCTCGCGCTGAGAATTGTTGATGCCACTGGCCTGGCTTGTATTGATGCCACTGACTGTCCTGGTTCCTGTTGTTGTGGCATGATCGGGCCGAGTATCTTGGCGCGACGACTTTAGTCGGATGGAAATTCGCTTGCAAGCTAAACTTCAAAAGGCAATGCAAACAGATGGTAGCGCCGATTTTTAGCGTATAGGTTCAAGTTGATTTTCCGTCGTTCATCTATAAACAAAATACGAGTTCCTTTCTCGGCTTTCTGTCCAAGCTAAAAAGCTCTGGGTCGGTTGGTGTACGCGCAAGATGAGGATGAGGATGGAGGTGATGGCGCAACCAGCTGCTGCTCTCTGATTGACTGACTGACTGTCTGCCTGCGCTTGGCTTGGCTTGGCGTTTGCCTTGGACCGAGCGCCCGAGGTGTCAACTGCCGATTTGTCAACTGCCCTGACTCGGCAGTTGGAGCCGCGAGACGCTGACTCCTCCAGTAGCCGATGTCGGCATGTGTGTGTGCGTGATACGTGTGTGCGAAGAAGAAGAAAAGAGGGTTGCGTTACATAGGGAAAAGCAAAGGCGACCATTTCTTCTTACACTTGTGCTTTTTTTGTCAAATCGAATGGTACGCGTGGGACCCTTTTGTTTCTCTGATCCTCCATCTCTTTTTGTGTGCTGTGTGTGCTGTGTCTCTGTCTCTGTCTCTGTCTCTGTTTCTGTCTCTGTCTCTGTCTCTGTCTCTGTCTCTGTTTCTGTCTCTGTCTCTGTCTCTGTCTCTATCTCTATCCCTATCTCTATCTGTGTGTGTCTCTATCTCTATCTTCTCTCTCTGGCTCTGTCTCTACCTCTCTCTCTCTCTCTCTATCTCCTATCTCCTCTCTCTGTGTGCCTGTTTCTCTCTTCCCTCTGGCTGTGTGTATGTGATCCGTTGGCTGTTGGAGCCTAGAGACCTCTCCCTCTCTCTCTGGTGCTGGTCATCGTTCGGAAACGGCGCTCGCCGCGCTGCCCTGTGCGGCTTTGGGGCAGGGGGTTGTGTCGTGTTGTGTTTGCTTGTGACGTGTCACTAGCACGGTCATTTTGCGCGGCATCTTGTTTGGTTGCGTGTGCGTGTCTTGAATTGGTTGCGACCGCGCTGCCCTTTCTGGCTTGTCTTGCCCCATGCTTGTTGTCTGTTTCGTTGCCCGCCGACTCCGTTGCTCGTGAACTTTGCTGTGCGCTGCCGTCTCCTGCCACCTCTCCAATCAAGACCAACTTGAGCTGACGCGACCTGTTTCAGCCTTGCTTTTCTTTTTTTTCCCGCCTCAACTCATGTTTGCCCTTTCCCTCGTCTCCGCGTCGCAGATCCGAAAGCTCTATTTCCCGTCAAACGTTCTCTTCGTCTGTCTCTCCTTCTCCTCCCATCATCAAACATGGCTGCTCGCAAGAAAGTTTTGCTCAAGGTCATCATCCTTGGTGACACCGGGTACGACAATGGTCTCCAGGCCCCCTGCCGCTCACAGCGGAATGGCCCGTCGTCTCTGTTTTTCTCTTTTTTTTTTTGTTGGGGGGGGGGGGAGGGAAGCGATCGGGGTTAAGCTTTTTACTTTTTTTTTTTTTTTTTTTTCTCCTGATCTCGACGTCTCACTTGCCACCCCATTCCTTTTATTGCAGTGTCGGCAAGCCCTCTCTCATGAATCAGTATGTGACCAAGAAGTTCAGCAACCAATACAA